TGCATTAAACATGCTCATATTTATATATCAGTACCGGTGTCAGAAGAAATTATATTACAGAGCAAATAGGCAAGGTACTACAGTACGTTATGATATTGTGATGAGGGGTAAATAGAGAGTAAAAGCAGGGAAAAGTCCTTCAGATGTGTCATTATGCTTAACACTTTGTTTCTGGGCAAAAGAGACCAATATGTGCAGATGAAAAGTAGTTTTTAGTCCAACAGCACCCTCTGGTGGGCAAAATGTGAAGAGCTGGTAACTGTTAACTCTGAGTGACAGCCGAGGGCGCTACACAATATCTGCTGCCCCTATAGTTTATTGAGGTGAATGTAAAGCTACATCAAGGGACAGGAAAACAGGAAACCTCAGAAATGTGCAAAGTGAACGTGTACATTTAAGGGAATTGACTAAATATATATACTGTACATTATATAGTACATAGACTATATATATATATATATATATATTGCACACAAAAAGTACAAAAACAATGTTCTCTTTCATTAGAAAAAGTCAAGTCAAATTTATTTATATAGTGCCTTTTACAACAGATGTTGTCACAAAGCAGCTTTACAGAGATGGGGGGCGGGGTAAGAGGGACACAGTTAGGAAGACAAATTAACCAAAGGCTCGACTAAACAGGTAAGTTTTTAGCCTAGACTTAAAGATGGAGGTTGTGTCTGAGTCCCGAACACAGACTGGTAGGCTATTCCAAAGCTGGGGGGCGTTGTATGAAAAGGCTCCTCCCCCTGACGTAACTTTATTTATTCTGGGTATTAATAATGAGCAGCACCTTGTGATCTAAGTGGGCGTGTCGGTTGATAATAGGAAATAAGGTCACTGGGGTACTGAGGAGCAAGGCCATTCAAAGCTTTATATGTCAGTAGAAGAATTTTGTACTCAATGCGGAATTTAACTGGCAACCAATGTAAGCTACACAAAATTGGGCTAATGTGGTCAAATTTCCTGGTTTTGCTGAGAACTCTGGCTGCAGCGTTCTGCACTAACTGAAGCTTGTTAAGGTTTTGGCTGGAACAACCAGAAAGCAGAGCATTACAGTAATCTAACCTGGACGTGATAAAGGCGTGAACTAACGTTTCTGCATCCTGTAGCGGCAGTGCATTTCTTAATTTAGCGATGTTACAGGTGGAGGAAAGCTATTCTGGTAATATTGGTAATATGCTCATCGAAGGCCAGACTGGGATCGATCGTGACACCAAGGCTTTTTACAGATGTGCCTGGTGCAATTGAGAAACTATCGAGATTAAGAGTAAACATAGGCAGATTATCCCTAGCAGCTTTTGGACCAAGAAGAAGAACTTCTGTTTTGTCCGAATTTGTAAGAGGAAGTTACTTGACATCCATTCTTTAATATCTTTGACACAGTCCTCTATCTTATTAAGTTTGATTTTGTCATCTGGTTTAGCTGAAATATACAATTGTGTATCATCGGCATAGCAGTGGAAACTGATGCCATGTTTTCTAATGATGGTACCTAGTGGTAGCATATATAAGGTAAATAATATGGGTCCTAAGACAGAGCCCTGTGGAACACCAAACTTTACTCTTGTGAGAGCTGATGGTTCACCATTTACATTAACAAACTCAAAGTGATCACTAAGGTAAGATTTGAACCACGAAAGAGCAAATCAATGGTTAAAGCTGGTATAATCCTTCAGTGTAACATATTCACTAAATGCAAAGCTTAAACATTATGTTTTTTTTATTTTTAAAGGGAAAAGATGCTTTCACTAATCAGTTTGTGAACTATGTTACAGACAAACTGTGTGTGATTACAGTCACTTGATTAAATCCTGCGCTTGAAGTAAAGCACAATTTTAAGGGCTTGTGAGTCTATTCTGCCACATATACAATAATGTTTTAAAAACAATTTTATAAATTGATTTTTTTTTCAGATACACATGTGATAAGCACTGTCATTAAAGATAGCAATATTTTTATCATATGGATAATTTAATAGTTGTAAGTGATGTCCTGTAAAACGTTTAACACATATCAAAAGCACCATTTTAGATATTTAATATTTGAAAAAATAAGGTGTAACATAGTTGACTGGATTATTCACCATCTGCACTATGTTTATTTCAAGGCAGGAGTAAAAAAAATCTAGCAAATCTTTCAAAACAGAAAGAATTCAGTGATGAAACACTACATTTTAAAATCATACAAAATACAAAATTAAAATTGATCAACAAGCAAAATAAAAACAAACCTATTACAACGTTTCACACAGTGCGAATTTAAAATATATTTTGTATGAATTTTGTATGAATTTAGTGTTTCATCATTCATCAGTAACTGGTGAAATTTGACTTGACATGGGTCCAAATGAAGCCTACCCTGCCTTCCACCCAATGACTGCTGGGATAAGCTCCAGCTCCCCCCGCAACCCAGAAGGATAAGCGGCTTAAAAGATGTGTGTGTGTGTGTGTGTGTGTGTGTGTGTGTAACAGTACAGTAAATTCAATAGTTACTAATATGTGTAAAAATTTATGTATCTATAAATGCCCTTCTTGCGGAATCAGCATCCTGCCAAGCTTGTATCTCTGCTGTTTCTCAGCTCCTGACATCTATTTAAAAATTAAAAAAAAAAAAAGCTGTGTTGATGAAGAAGGGAAGGTATGCCCATATGGTAATATGTTTTGTGACATATGTAGACTGATAATGATAATGATGTGATAATATTGACTGATAATGTAGACAACTAGATAACTTAGTTGACAATTTCCTTGTGACCCATAACCTCAGTGGCAGGCCTTGAAATGCTGACCACATGTCATTTTCTTGAACAGACTGATGTCTAATTTGAATATGCAATTGAATTAAAATCATAAAAAACATTGTTGTGTTGACAATCAATATACTCATTGACAATGTGATATTATCAATAAAATATTGGAAAAGGTAAGAAGATGCTCACCACAGTGTGTCCAATGTGCCCAGAGGAAAATGACCTCATGTGATGCTGGTCACACGGTATTGTGACAAACCATTTTTGAGTTGCAGGGGAAAGTTCTGCTAGTAACATAGTTGACCAGACTTTTGCGGACATTAATAAATTAAGATATTTCAATTATTTTAATATTTATTTAATTAATACATTTTTTAAAATATTATTTTTCTTTAGTATATAAACTTTTCAAATAAATAAAAATAGTTATTGTTGACTTTTTATTCATTATTTTGAAACCAAAACATCCTCAACTGAAAAACACAGCAAATATTGTCAATTTAGGAACATCATGACAAATTTCAAGCTAAATGAAGCATAGGATGCACATAATGTTTGATTGATATTGTAACATGCTTTTGATTAATATGTAAAATATGATATTTTTGAAGAAAATACTTAGAATAAATATAATTATCATTAATGGACATGGAAGGTACTCCAAATTATAGAATGACTCTAGTATTAGTTTACTACAGAGCCCCTAAGGTGACATGGTGATTATTTTCTAATAAGGTGTGGCCACAAATTACGACACCCTGATGTCAGAAGTGGGATTATCCCTGCCCCCAGTAGAGGAATGGCACCACACTGAATTTATGACACATAGCGAAAAAGCAGAGCCTGGCAGAAGACCGTGATGATGGAGACAATGCTGCAAGTCTGCGTGGGAAAGACAACCTGGCGAGGCTTGAGGGCGCAGCGAGGGCGCGGCGAGATCAGTGAGGTGAGGCACAGCGGTGGTGCCAGCGAGAGAGAGAAGCTGGTGAAAGTGCAAGCGAAATTGTTGAAAGCTTCAGCACAGTTGCTGAGTCAGTGCTGCAGAGAGAGAAGACACCGCAGCAGGTGGCAGTACGCTCACTATCACGGGCTCACTGATATCTCTAATGCACAACTAGAGCAGCACATCACATAGCACAGGAAGGTAACCATGGCCCCGCTCAAGTCAGTCACCAGCAGTCGAGGCAAAGCCCCAGCATGTACGAGTGGCTTTTGGGACAGCGCTGCTGTTGTGTTGGGTAGCAGTAAGGGCGGAAGGGCCGGGTCGAGCACCACTGTTGCTGCCATCATCCCTGTTGCGGCCATCATCCCATTGACTTGACATGGAGCGCTGTGGGAAGCTCTACCATAAGCTGGAGGAGCCATGGCCCTGGGGGAGGACTGGAGGCCCTTGAAACTTACGAGCAAGCACACCGTGGCGTTTGTTCTAGCCAAGACTGTGTGTTGAACCCTGGGATTTGGCTTGTGCTGTTAGGACACCGGCTGACCTTTGAAGGGGGGGCTATGTAGCGACCCACTACAGGCTGATGCTGCCTCAGAGAGACTCTGTAGGCATGGCTATGCCAACAGCCACGTGCAAAGGCTCATGGTATGTGTGCAGCCTCCAACAAAGTGATTTACTGTGTTGTTTGGTGTTGTTTGTTGTGAATTTAAGCTGTGTATATGTGTTTAAGAGTGGGGCTCTTTTTGGGGGATTTTATGCTGGGGTTGGTCACCATCAGGGTGAAGCCAAGGGCTGGTGGTGACCTTCCCCCATAGTTTAATAATCTGTATGTGCCTTACTGGTGGTGTTTAATAAAAGTGTACTTCTTGCAGCCGAACCATGGTCCTCTTGTGTTTCTTCTTCTGTTAAGGCCACAATATGTAATTTGTCACCCTAATATAGTAACTTGAGGTCTCAGTATAGTGAATTGTGGGCTCAATATGTAATTTGTGGCCTTAATGTAATAACTTATGGCCTCAATATACAAGTTTGTGGCCACACCTTAATAAAAATAATTACCCTGTCACCTTAGGGGCTCCATAATAACGGTATAGATTTAAATATTTAGGACTGTTCAACACAGCACTGTTTGACTCAGATTCGGAAAAGACCGTTGTATGCCGTTCCAAACGCCCGTTATTTTCGACACCTACACCCTAAGAACCTCCGTTCCCTGCGCAGCCTTCCCATGTCGCCGAGTGTAGGGCGTAGGGAACACACTTCGGAATGGAACGGAGCCCAGTCACCAGGGATCTTCACACCGGATGTAACGCTAACAAACTAGGCGGCCGTCACGGAAATAACAAGGTAGTATGTCGAGAGTCCGCGGACGAGTACAGAGAAAATGGCCAGACTGACGTACATGAAGTTTACAATAAGGTAACTTAAAATTAACAGTTTTATCGTTCATATTCAGCGCCGTCCAGCTGGAGTCTAAAATCTGTAGCGTCAGTCTGAGGAGAGTGAAACAGCTAGCGAGCTAGGTAAGCTAACTAGCCTGCTAGCGTTGTGGCGAGGGTGCGTTCAAGTTACGCTGGTGTTGGAAACTGAGAATTACACGTTTTCTCACTTGTAAATTGCGGTAGACCACACTCGTATTTAAATCTGATAAACTCGTGATTTTAGACGAGGCTGAAGTTAACTTGATATCTGCCAGCTTCTTGTTCGAATTTCCACGTTTCACTTTAAACGCTGCAGCAGTTACGTTCTGACTGCTTATGTTACGCCTGTGGTTCAGAGCTAACCTACCTGCTGCGCTGCTGCTGTTAGATCTGTGTGCTTTTTAACACCGCAGAGGAAAACCAGGACGCGCATTTTCCGAACCTGCATGCTGTCTTTTTCCGTTCGTGTGCAAATCTGTTAGCTTACAAACACTCAGACTTAGTCGTAGTAAAGGGAACTTCACCTGGTTTCCAAAATTTCTGCATAATTAAACGGTTGAGATGTAAACAACGTCATTCAGAGTGGTTTGGTGTGAAATGCTCTGTTCTAGAGAAACTTACAGAGTCAGAATTGTTCACAGTGGTGGTGATAGGAACCAGACGTCCATCTCTAAAAGCTCCCTCACAGAAAGTTATTACGTGAAATGGTTATGAATACTCAGCCTAATGTCTGAGACATTGTTTTACGATAGTTTTGAAAAGGATTTGGCCTAAAATATATTTTTCCATGCATACAAACTTATTTTTCACAGTCATTACTATTTTATCATCATCTACATTCCTTATAAAAGCTCATGTAGGTTCACTGGTGGTCTTGGATGGTTTGGATAAATGGATATATTTGTGTTGCAGTCATGGTGACCCCTGGTTCCTATCACCACAACTGTGAAGAAATTGAGTCTCTGTAATATACAACTATAATTCAGTTAACGTTAACTCATGCTGTGTTTGGGTGCTCATCAGAAGGTTGGATATACCCAAACAGAAGCTAACATTAAAGACGTAAACATTTGGCTGTAATGTCTACCTGTCAGCACTGCACACCTGCCTAATGCTGACAGGACGCAAACTACCTAGCACAGTGTTTTGTTGTGTATTTAAATATAAAGAGAGCATAAACTTCAGTCAGTCAGCGACAACATGTAGTAATAATGCGTGATGATCGTCTATACTGCTGTATTGTGGTGTTGCTTTTCAGTATTAGCAATATTTTGCGTAATATCTTTGATTTACATACCTTCTTTTTCTGTAGAAATACAGAGGTGGGTGATAGAAAACTTAGAAATTGGTAAAAACATGCGCTATAACCCCCCCACCCCCCATGTTTTTAGCAGATCACTCTTAGTCTCATTTTTTATTATTATACCTGAAAATAGTTTTGCATGTTTAGCTTTCATTGCTGATGTTATTTTTAAATTAGGGCTCGTGGTATTTTATTGAATAATTATTAATACTTTCAAACAATTATACAGAACTCTGATCAGTCACATTAGTTAATTGCAATCAATAGCATTTGCCTTATTTGCTCAAATTAGACCATAAAGAAATATAAATTGTTTTCTGTTTTAAAAGCAGTGCATTTTGTTATAGGTACATGTGGATAAAATAACCTTCTTCCGAATGTATTTCTTACCGTCAGTAAAGCAGCTTGAACCCAAGTCTAAAAGCACATGAATGCAGGGCGGAGTTAAAAATAGGGTGAAGGTAGTTTCCTGTTTTTGTCACTGACATCAAGTTGGTGTTCCAGCTCCTCTGTGATTGTAGCTCCTCGCTCTCATACCACCATGTGAAGCCTTGTTTCAAATGGGAACTGAAGCTTTCCAGATTTCCGTTGTGGTCGTGACTTTGGTACTCGGTGGTTTGTTCTTCGGTCTGCCGCAGGCATTGTCCAGTTCAGTGTAGTCTGCTGAAGGTGTCCTCCAGTGCAGCGTTACTGATGTTACTGGTATTTCCGGCATCATTTCTTATAAATGACACTTTGGACTTGACTTACTTTGGTGCTAAACAAATGCATCATCGATAAAACTTGCCATCAAAAAGCTGTAAAAAAGAGAGCTACAGGCTGGAACATTATATATTATTAAGTGTGTTAACACACAAACTTTGACACTGATAATTCTTATATATTTACTTATTTTGAGTAGTTACCGGCTACAAACATTGATCACTGGGCTCAGTAACAATTTCACATAACCAGAAATCTGCTTGTATTAATTTGCCCTGAGAGCAGCTTGCTTTTCACTCTGTTCAGTATTTTAATAGAAAACATTTGTGAGGCCAGTGATACTGTAATTTTTACAACATGTTTTCATACTTTGCAAAATGCATGTTTTTAATCTGGCTTTTATTTCTCAAGCAATTGAAATAAACAGGCCATGTGAAAGAACTGTCTGTACAGAACCATGAACACTCAAAGAACCCTTTGCATGATTAAATTGTTCTTTGCATTGTGAAAGCTTTCTTCAGATTGATGGAGAAAGTTCTGTAGAAAATATTTTTGAAAATGCTTTTGTGTAGTACACAAAAGGGTTCTTTCATTGTTATGGTGTCTATATAGCACCATGTATGGCGCATTTACACTCCTTTTCCATCAAGCCAAAGAACCCCCCAGAACCCATCATGATGCAGAGAACCCTTTTATCATGCAAAGGGTTCTTTGAATGTTCATGGAGCACCATCTTTTTTAAGAGTGTATGTTAATTTAGGAAATAATTCCTAGTTTACAGTGTTTTGTCTCCAAAACTAGAGCCGGGCAATATGACAATATTTACTGTTGTTGTGGAAAATTGCATATGTCAAAATATGCAAGTTTGAGCGTATTGTGGATTTTGTCAGTGCTTAAAAATATTTCCTAACTACTTTTTGATTAAAAAAAGAGCTGTAGTGTTGTTTAATTGTATTTAATGCAGCACAGTGTGTGCAATGTTTAATATGAATCATTGGATTCATAATTTCGATCGCACGTTTAAGATGTGATACTTCTCTGTCTGTTCTAACTTATCAGATGTCAGAGAAAATAAATATTGTGACATATCATGCATCATAAAAATCTTCTTGACAGATTGCGATATTACATTTTGTCATATCACCCACTTCTGTTCTAAACCACTCAACTTTTATGTCTGTTTATTCTGTATCAACTTGGAAACCCGGCAACATTGTAAATGAGGGTCATCCTCAGTGTTCTCCGAGATTAAATAAAGGTTGGTTGGCTGTTACCAAAGGATACCCACTCAGCTGAAACATAAACACATAATCAAAATACTTAAAAGGATGCACGTTAGTTAGTTCAACAGCTCTTGATAAAAAAATACCAGAGCAAAACTAAAATGTGATTAACCAGAAATTCAAAAAAGTTATGAAAAGTTAATTGTGACAACGCCCTCTGACTCTGGTGCGTCAACCATCCTCAGTTTCAGTTTCCATTTCCCAAAGCTTTAGCCGCTGTGAAAGCCATGTGTAGCATGCCCTGTGCTACCCCAGGCACAAGGAGGACAGGGTTCACATTTGCAGCAGCCAAATAAACTCAAACAGAAACAAAAACCAACGTTAAGCTGGCCACTTTTAGAGCTCGCTCCGTCCCCCACCCACTCACGGCCTTCTTCAAAAAGTACTCGTTCAACTCTGTCTCCTCATTATTCACCTTTGTCACTGCTGGGTTTTGTTAGACACGTTTTCACCGACATTAACACACACAGCTAATAATAGGGATTGGTGAAGAACATACCTTCAGTGTCTTGAGTTTTTTTTAACTGCAGATTAAGGGGAAAAACATCCCTCTCACAAGTGAAACCACCTTTTTGCAATATGAATAAATGTAACGTCATTACACTAGTTATAGTGAACTTGTTATGCTGTCACATCTGCCTACAATCAAATTAATTGTACTTTCAGTAGAATGACAAACAAAATAAATAAGAGGTTAATCAGAAAGTTAGGACACCGCTGGAGTTGACCAGTTGCCTCTGGTCCTTAAGTTGATGGGTTGAATTGGCCCAAAGTGCAGGGCGGTGCTTTCTAAATAACTACTGGAGTCAGGTATCGCATTGTCAACACGTTTAGGTTCACAGGTGCTGAATTTCTTAATGTTCACAGTAACTAATTTCTGTAAAAATGGTCAATAGTAGGTGTCAAACAGTTGTATATTAATTTATGCACAGATACATTTAAAGACTTTGCTGACTGCTTTATAATAAGCTGTGAGTTTGTATTGTAGTTTCTGCTGAGGAAATGCAGAAGAATGCAGTCTATTTGTTCGTCGAACAGGCTTGACAAAAGCTTTGCTAGCCATTGTAACCACTGGGGAATCTGGGGGTTTAACTAAAGGTTAATAACTGCTTTAAACTGGATAGTAGCTAATTATAAGAAGTAATTTGAAAATATGGATTAAATACTGCAGCTCGAAAACTGTGAAGCCTTGAAATGTTTTTGTGAAGCTGTAGTGAAGTGCTCACTTTACTAATTATCGAATTTTGTAGTTGTTCAGATAATATTTAGATGTGAATTTTTATACTGTCCTCTCTGTGGTTATAATGATGTGTATTTGGTTAGTGTTGTTGTTGTGGAATGTCGCTACCACCGTCTGAATGCCACACCGACGTCCTATTCTCTCTCCCTGCTCTGCTTATTGTCCTCAGTGTTCCTCATATTGTGGGCCAACATCTTTCTGCCCTTGTCTTTTTCTCTTAAATGGGCTAAGTGGTCTAAACCTGAGGTGTAAAACTCCAGTCCCATAGGGCTGCAGCACTGCCCAGTTCAGCCTAGTATGTTTCTCCAGTCTAGCACGTCTGATTAGCCATTTAACCCCAAAGGGGTTCATATTTGGAGCCACAGATTAGTTATTCACTTTCATTTCAACATAACTTGTATACTGGTTTCATAGTAGATACTTAAGAACAGATTTTAAAGAATATTGTCGCTGTCCAAAGGAAAACATGTATCTCCAGAATATTAACCTTACACGAGAGTGCAAAAACATTTTTAACCTTTAATGTAAACTAATGCAAAGAGGTTTTATTACATTTGATTTTGGAGTATTTCTATCAGTCCATTCATCCTGAAATGTTGGCACAATGAAAAGGTGAACTGGTGTGTTCAAATGATGTAGAAAAATAAAAATGGAGACCGATGTTTTTCTTTGGGCAGCAACAAAATGTTATAATAACTGGGTAACAGTTATTTAAGGGTTTAAGGGTTAAGCATATTTTTGGGGTTTGATAATTAACTTGTGAGTTGACTCGTAAACAAACTATGATCGCCACTGTTGATTAAATGAGTAATTTAAAGGTGATTATTCAAGTAATCTGAGTTTTAAAAAAGGACAAACAATCAAAATGTATCTACCTGAATAAAAACACACCTTGCACAGCCTCTCAAACATTCCAGGACGTTGTACTGGAACCAATACGAAGCACGCCTTTGAAAAGACTACATATATAGGTGTAAGCACTGTTTGGCTCAGTTTCAGATTGTAAGCGGGAAGAACAAGATTTTTTTACATGTGTGTCATTATTCAACTGACTGGTTGGAACTAGTCTTTGCCTTTTCATGCAGCAGACGCATTTAATTCAGTTGAATCTAATTCTATCTTCTCTCTCTTTTTTCAGGCCATAGGTCTAATGTGGTGCATCTGCATTGAGGGTCCCACCCGGTTGCTATGGCATCATCCCCCTTCCCTCCCTTCATTCCCCTACTACTCCTGACCTTGCCCACCCTGCACTCCCTTTTCTCCCGTGGCCCTCTCCCTCCCTTGCCAGCCTGTGAGCCGGGTCGCTCCTGGGCAGTGCAGCTGAGTCAGGGCTCAGACCTGCAGAGAGGCTCCCTGGATGAGCTGGCGGAGAGCGTGGCCCAGGAGGCAGGGCTGGAGAACCGCGGACAGATCGGGCAGCTGGAGGGCCACTACCTGCTCTGCCATGCGCCAGCCAAAGAAGGGAAAGAGAAGTGGGACCATCAGGCAGCTAACCAGGCTTTGGCCGCCCACCCTCAGGTTCTGTGGTACTCACAGGAGAACATTCTCAGCAGGTCCAAGCGAAGCGTGACCTTCAATGATCCAGAATACCCGAGCCAGTGGCATTTGGTGAGTTAACCCTTTAAGGCAAGAGAGCAACTATTTCTGCCTTTTAAGATCAAATAATGTGGTGTCACAGTAGCTATTATACATAACATAGAACAGGTGTAAGAAAGCCAAAAGTTCATTGATATTTATTTTTTTTCTGTTAGAAAATTATCATTTTGAGCACAAAAATAAATGCACTAATACACCGATCAGGCATAACATTATGACCACCTCCTTGTTTCTATGTTTATTGTCCATTTTATCAGCTTCACTTACTATATAGGTGCACTTTGTAGCTCTACAATTACAGACTGTAGTCCATCTGTTTCTCTGCATGCTTTGTTAGCCCCCTTTTTACCCTGTTCTTCAGTGGAGAGGACCATGGACCCTTACAGAGGGTCTGACATGGTGGTGGTGTGTTAGTGTGTGTTGTGCTGGTACGAGTGGATCAGACACAGCAGTGCTGCTGGAGTTTTTAAACATTCACTGTCCACTCTATTAGACACTTCTACCTTGCCAGTCCACTTTGTAGATGTAAAGTCAGAGACGATAGCTCATCTGCTGCTGCACAGTTTGTGTTGGTTATCCTCTAGTCCTTCATCAGTGGTCACAGGACGCTGCCCACAGGATGCTATTGGCTGGATATTTTTGGTTGGTGGACTATTCTCAGTCCAGCAGTGACACTGAGGTGTTTAAAAACTCCAGCAGCACTGCTGTGTCTGATCCACTCGTACAAGCGCAACACACACTAACACACCACCACCACATCAGTGTTACTGCAGTGCTAAGAATGATCCACCACCCAAATAGTACCTGCTCTGTGAGGGTCCTGTGGGTCCTGACCACTGAAGAACAGGGTAAAAGGGGGCTAACAAAGTATGCAGAGAAACAGATGGACTACAGTCTGTAACTGTAGAACTACAAAGTGCACCTATATAGTAAGTGGAGCTGATAAAATGGACAATGAGCGTAGAAACAAGGAGGTGGTCATAATGTTATGCCTGATCAGTGTATTTCTGCCTTTTAAGATCAAATAATGTGATGTGTCACATTAGCTTGTATACATAACACAGAACAGGTGTAAGAGCCAAAAGTTCATTGATGTGTTTTTTTTTTTTCTGTCAGAAAATTATCATTTTGAACATATAAAGAAATGCACATGTATATACTTCACTTTCCTGTTTGCTTTTTATTGTAAAGTGTTTCTATATCTGTATCAAATTGCATTTTGAATGTTTGCACAGAAACAATCACAGTGAATCAGTGGTGCTTCTTTTCTACAGTGAAAACATGGTAGCACAGAGATAGCGCCAGTTTCACGTGCTTATCCATTTTACTGTGATATAGATAGAAATAGTCACACCATAAGGACCCACATTTCGTACCCCCTCACTTGTAACCATGTAACTTCCACATTAGTTTTATAGTAATTACTGAACAGTTTGTCGTAGTTACTTGAGATTAATAAATGAATAATAGGCCTGTAGGTTAAGAGCTTAAATTAAAGGCTTTTTCAGACCAATAGCAGAAGACTCTGACCTTCAGTGCCGCTTTTAACAGCTTCTAATCGGCCATCATTTTAATCAATATTTCCCTTCAGGCCAGCGGCAGACATTAAGTGCTTTACCAGCAACTTCACATGTCGCATGTTTGTTTTTCTCTCCATCTTCCAGTCTGTATTCAGGCTTTGCTTAAGAAATGCACATATTTCTTTAAATATATACAGTTGTGAATAAACTTTGGTTTTACTTCAAATGATCACTAAACCATACAAATTACCTTTAACTTCCAAGCAAAGATTGATCTTCATTCTCTGTTAATATAAATAGACAAGTTCGTGCTTAAAATGAATTAATAAAGAGTGAGCCAGAAACGAACCGAATACCATTCGCCAAACAAAATGGGCTGTAAGATGCTTTACAGACTGGCTGAAACAAAACAACATTAATATTGATCTGGCAAAAATTTACAAAACTGAGCTAAACTTGTTATTACGGCAGTTTTATGGCTCACTCCGATTTGGTCAGACTCTGAAGATCAGACTACACGTTTGATGAATGGTATTCGGTTCATTTCTGGCTGATTCCAGGTTGTTTAGCTGTTCTTCTGTCACAGCTGCCAACTGAAAAGCTGCTCAGTGGTGATGACAGTGTCGCAATTTAGTGTAAAGAGCTGTAGAACGAACTGCAGGCTGCGCAGCAAGTGAGCGGAGTTCATTACTCTGACATAGTAACGAGCTGCTTGTTAAGGAACTATAATTTAGCAGAAGGAACCGCTAACACTAAAACATTAAATGCCACATTCACTGCATTTCTTACTTTATTTAACTGTTGTATAAGAGCAACAGAACACTCAAGGCTGTGATGATGTACGGCACTCACCTTCGTCTCATGCCTGTGACCAAATCACAGCCGTGATGTTATTTTGCGATAACACACTCCCTCTCGTGTTTTATTGCTTAAATAGTTAAATGTCCACCTATTGAAAAAAAAAATGCTATGCCACTGCGCTAGTGCGTTGGTTCAGTCACTGTGAACTCTTCTCATTTAATTGGAGCTTTATTGTCACTGTGTATCTGCTTAATCCTTGCTCCTTCTCTACAGCACAATGATGTGAAACGTGGTATGGACATCAACGTAACAGGGGTGTGGGAGCGGAACATCACAGGAGCGGGAGTCACTGTGGTTGTAGTGGATGACGGGGTGCAGCACACATTGGAGGACATTCAGCCCAACTATGTGAGTGGACCAGATTTTTTTTTTCCCTAAGGTCTCCCAAGTTGTACACCAGGGCTGTACAATATAGGAGAAATTCTAGTTTTGTGGTTATTTCAAAACAGTCTGCGATTGCACTGTGCCTTGCAACTTTGACGTAGATTTCATTTTAACTTTGGTGGAATCCTGTCCATACCACCTGACTCATCATATGATGAGTGTTTTTTACTAATTATTAGCATCATGGATATGTAATATTAGAAGTGTGCAGTTATACAGTTACTGAACATACAAAACTTTCTTACCCTGAATATTTCAAATTCCTGTAATTATGTTTAAACAAACGTGCTGAACTATCAATTATCTGAGTTATCATTCTGAATTTTCAACTTTCTTTTGATAAGCTATAGTTGTTTAAAAATCAAATTTTTTAAAGGTGGGGGGTCATTTTACTTCTGCTACATCACTGTTGCAGATTTCCAGTTGCACAATAATGTTGAGCCTTATTGCACACCTAGCATGTTGTTAAGGTGATAAAAACACACACACTCATCCAACCTTATGTTCACCTAGTGTCCAGAGGGCAGTTACGACTTGAACTCAAACGACCCGGATCCCATGCCCCACCCTGACGCCCGCAGCGATAACCACCACGGAACCCGATGTGCGGGTGAGATCGCTGCTGTGTCCAACAATAGCTTCTGTGCTGTGGGAGTGGCGTACGGCAGCAGAGTGGCAGGTGGGTAATGTGAGGCTTGTATGAGTTTCAGAAGCTCTCCTGAAACAGAACCTTATTTGGCCAGTGAACGTGAGTGCTAGCTGGTGCAGATGAGTGTGTGATTGCTTCTGATATATTTCCATGTTATCAAGTTAAATCTCCCCATTTAAAACTACAATGCTGTTGGTTGTATATGCTATAATTAAATTGGCAGCGCTTGCAATTTAAAAAATTGCGATTTCAATAAAGAAATTGTTTATTTTACAGCCCTTAATTCAGTCCCACATAACATTGTAGAGGTTCAATTGCAAAGGTAACATAAGTGACCCCAAAATAGCTGTAATTAAGTAATGTGGTTTGTTAATTGTTCTGCCATGTCCTGCATAAGCTATTCTAGGATGCCGGCAGAATGCTGGTGAAAAAATGTTCTTTATCTCACTGATAGAGGATGAAAGGCTCATCTCCTCATCTCCTGTGTCCTCCTCAATGTTTTGCTTTTCAGGTATCAGAGTTCTGGATGGACCACTCACAGACAGCATGGAGGCAGTGGCTTTTAATAAACATTACCAGATCAATGATGTTTACAGCTGCAGGTATTTATTCTAATCGAGCTTGGTACCTGTAGGTCACATGTTATACCTTTTTTCTTATTTCTGTCTTTACCTTTGCTCTGTTACTGATTTTAGTGACATATAAAAGTCAACAGTGCAATCACAAAAAAATATCAGATCACAAATCTGATTACAAATTAGTACAAATTAAACCATGTAAAGGACAGTTTGTCACACCAGAGCAGTTCTCAAAAGACAAATTTAGTTTCTGTTGCACTCTTGACTCTTGATGTCCCTGGAGATACTAGTGAAGATACTAATTTGGAGAAGATGTTACTAGTTTGTCATTTCTGAATGAAGACATTGGGTAGCAATTTGTCTGCCATGATCACATCAAATATTTCTGAGGATCTTAGCGGCTGTCCTTTCTGTTGTAGTTGGGGTCCAGATGATGATGGACGCACTGTTGATGGACCTCATCCTCTGGGCATGGTCAGTGCTGGCATTTACGTTTTGGTCCTAACAGTGTTGAATTCATGGACTGTCCAACATTATTGTTTGTTCTTCCTTTCTCGTCCTGCAGAGGGCACCGTCATAAAGCAGTACCTGTCTTCTCTCATTACCTGTTACATATATAGAAACTACTGTCTCAAACCCTTTAAGGGGAATAAAAAAAATAAAATACATATTGTTAGATGCGGGCGATATGACTGTGTTCATCAAGATAAACTGTTATATTAAGGCACATGCGCTTTTCTGAGAATATTGTAAGTATCGTCAATACTGAAAGATCACTGACCAACTGTATGTTTTATTACAAGGCGCACATAATTGGTGCTGTATAACTAAATAAGGTGCAGAGCAGGATGTAAAACGATGAAGATCATTGTGTTCTTAAATGTGGCACTGCTGATGCTTTTTTGTCTGTTCAAACATATCACACATCAAGAAAGCTAAGCATTGTGAAAATTGAATACCGTGAAAATGTTTTTTTGTGAAGTGTTGTGGTGTTATGTTTTTGCCTGATCATCTACTCTTTTTGTTATTCAAATCTATACTTCTTTCTTAGGTTTGCAGACAGTTTAATTTCAAGATAGATAGACTTCGTGTCTGTTTTTTTGGCTGGATCATCCTTGTGGTGATTTTGGTCTCTGTCAAATGTCCAGTAACCCAGCTCCAAGCCCCAGCTGGGTTAGTCTAGGCTTTATTTCACTGATTTTCATACCTAATTATATATGTGCATACACAAAGGGAGAGATGCATTAGTTGATCTACAGAAAGACTGAAATATTTTCAAGAAGATGGCTTTGAGTACTTCTTTCCAAGGTTCATATAGTGGAAAGGACACTGTATAAGATGAATAGTAGTAGATATTCACATGTTGCAAAGTTTTTGTTTTGTAGCATGCGTGAGAATCACCATAAATACATTGACTGTGCTGTTCTTAATATATTTATGTATTTTTTAGGGATGGGATTAGCATTATGGAGAACTACAGCATTTCTTTCTGCAGGGTTACAGATTCAGTAAAATGAATAAAATGCAAAGATTTTAGCACAATAACTCAGCGTCGCCTAAAGCTTCTGCTCTACTGGTGTACAAGAAACACGTCATGAAATAAAAGTTTGTCAAGCTGGGCAAAATGGCAAAAAAAATATCTTGCTATTTAAAGATCTTTTAAAGATGCATGATGTGTCACAGTATTTCTTTTTTCTGATATCTGATAAGTTGGAACAGACAAAGTAATGTTGCATTTTAAAAATAATAATAAAATCTATGAATCCAGTGATCAGTATTCAACATTTCACATATGATACTTCACTAATGCCAATTAAACAGGACTGATTATACGCTCTGCAATCAAACATGCGGTTAGAAAAGCATATTATGACATTCTGTGGGGTAATTTCTCACGATACTAAGTGTGTTAACATGCACCTTAATCTGATCATCATCGTATTTCAGCAGTTATCTGATTATTCAAGTGGTCATGTAAACAGCATACTCTGATTCTTTAGATCAGATTAAAGCCTAGAAATCTGATTACAAAATCTGATAAAGAGAGCTGGATTTTTGCTCTGGGTTTTTTACTGCATGTAACCCTTACTCTGATTTCTTTCGATTTTCTCAGTCTGCGTATGTGCGAAAAGAAAACACTGTACCAGAAATAGCATACAGCGTTTAACACCGCACCGAAGCCAACTACATGCTTAATGAAATGAAGACTTTGAATATACATCTTCTCGATGATGCATATTCATATTTTCCACTCGAGTAACTCAGTGTTTTAAAAAAAGAAATTGCGGCATTACCTGGAGTTTTCCCATTATCTGATTACCCAGTGCATGTAAATGTGTTGAATGAATTCTGGTTTTCTGCAGTTATTAGACTGTTAAGTGCATGTAGACACACTCAATGATATTGTCATATTTCCCAGCTGTAGCAGTTTGAAATAACACTCCAATCTAAACATCTGTCTGATGCTGCTGATTTGTCTGTCTGATGGCAAAACGCAGTGCCAGACACCACAGAACAGGTCTGATTATACCTTTTTGTCACTCCAACACCGTTAACTCCACTTCTACTCCTAGACATCAGCTTTTATCATCTACATTGTTTCAGCAGAGCAGCAGTTTCAGAATCAAGCCTGTACTGTGGTGGGTTGCACTGGCTGGGTCTGTTAGCTACTCGCTAAGCTATTGTTAAGTTGCTGATCAGGCTACACATCCAAACACCACAGAACATGTTTATTATCTCATTTCTGTCCCTTCATCGCCAGCGGCTCGACTTCACTCCCTCAGATTTTAATCATTCTCATCTAAAGTTGTGTCAGCGCTTTGGTCAGCCGGAATCGAACATGTTATCCTGGTATCCTGCTAGCTAAGCTAATGCTCTCTCTTAGTTAGCAGCACTGTTTATCATTTAGCATTGTTAGATAGATTGCTTGAAAATCGCGTATTGCGTTCACTCATTTGGTGACCATGTATGCAAACACATTTGAAATAATGCAGGACTAGATGGCACAAAAGCGGCATAGATGGTTTACTGCACTTTCTATGGTCCATAGTTGTGTCCTGAAGCATTTGGTAGGTGCTATACAGCATTGATTTCCTGATGAGAGCATTTTTCTTTTTCTTTTCTTGTTTTGTTGTTACTGGCTTTGTTCAAGTATTTTTTTTTTTTCCTGTCAGTCAAGAATGTTTGGATCCCCATGGATCCTTTGCTGTTGAAAAGCAGTCAGATTCCTGTCCATTCAGTTACACAGTGAAATTATAGCAGATCCAGATGTTTTTTGGGTCAGAATGGCTGGCCTTGATGTGATTTGATACTTATGAAGAAGTTTGGAAAAAAGTTCTTTGCTAAAAATGTGTTTCATTTGACTTGTTCACGGAGTCCTTTTGCTAATTTATGTGGCTGGAGCACGTTGGCATGTTGAGGGTTAAGCTTTTAATTAGTCTTAAGAACTTGAGTAATAAATCAGTCTAGAGATTGGCAAGAGATTAGAAGCTGCGCTTAAGCCGCAGTGTCTGTGTTTAGGCTTGCAGCCAGATCTGATTTGTTTCCCCACATTTCCGTCACATGTTGTATCTTTCCTTTGTCTAAACACATGAAATCTGATTGTTTCTGTCCTCATTTGCCACATCCGTGTTCCACCAAAATAAGCATGAGCCTACAAAAAACACTTGGAAGAGTGTTTGATTTAAGCCTTACAAGCTGCTGTCTTAACATCGCCGTATGGTTTATAACGATTTTTGTGGCAGTTAAGAAGCCCCCAACCCCCAGTAGAAGATTAGTATGTTGACATAGTCGATGCTTTCCGTCAAAACTACGCTAAAAGTTAGATGTTAGTACATCAACATGCCATCAGATGCTTGTATGTTCCTCCCTTCATCTGCCTGGCATGCACTTTGGAAACTTCGCTGAAGTTCTGTAACAGTTATTTCAGTCTCTCTCAGTGGCCCAATAAACTAAATCCCAATAACTGCTGAGCTCCAGGAGATATTTTTGCAGAGCTAAGGAGGGTTTTATGTTGTATTGATAGGAAGATTTGTTAAGGAGCTTCAAGTAAGAAATAATTTGTGGAGTGGTTGCATCTTTATCAAGTTTTAGTGTGCATTTGGATGTGAAGAATATGAATCAAGGGAGCCAGAGGTGTCTTATGAAGCAAGACTTGGAAGCTTTTTAAAGGGATACTGCAACCAAAATGAAAAACCACTACCCCAGTGTCTGTTGTAACCATGCTAGCCTGCCGTCTGTGGTAGTCTCTAGAGTGTGATTTTGCAGTTTAAAGACTAGGAAAACTCCTTTCTGATGTATCTGTTGTGCGAGTTATTTTTGCATTCATTCATTTATTTATTTATCTATTTATTTATGTTAGCTGGTGAGTGCAAAAGGAAGGCAGATAGCCAACATTACTGCTAGAAAGACTGATTTTTTTGGAGCCATATAACTGTGATAACTGTCTCCGAACCATCGTTAGAATGAATAGAATAGATTAGTTAAATGATGAAAGCGACTCATCAGTTGAGGAAGGACTACAAAATACAATTTTGTAATCACCAGGTTATTTAGGCTGTGTATCTCGGCTCAGTATGGCCTCTTTACTTTCCCTGTAAGTGTAAAAAATTGTCTGGTGTCCATTTTGTGTTGAATAAAGATAATATTGTTTTCTTAATCAAGATTTTGTTCAAAAACTTGCTAAGCTTGCTACCTTGGTTGTGTTTATTGGCCTAAAGGTCAGTGACAAGGCTAGCTGTCAGGATTGGTTAACATCACAGAGATTCCCAAGGGTTGTATAATGCATGCTGGGTATTGTAGTTAAAGAACGCTGAGTGAGCGAAAACATGAAAAAGATTGTTAGAAATGAATTATAAATTCTGTTAAGCTGATGAAACTCAGAGATGCACTGCTGTGCTACCGAATACCGCATAACACAGCAAACAACATATTAAAGGCTAGTATTAGGCCAGAATGACCCTGTAATCTGTACAATGCAGAGTCTGAGAAATAGATAATCTGCCTTAAAGACAAATGCCTTTTGTCCAGCAGAAGGAAAGAAAGAAAATCACTGACAGAACTGTTCGGTGCTGCCACTGCACCTCCTCCATAACCATTAGCACAGGACACATTCCAAGGGAAAGGAAACCCAGGAAACCATTAAGCAATGCCTCTTTAATATTATAGCAGAGTTACTAGAGAAGGGGAATTAGCTTGTGTTCGACTTACATGAAAGAATATCCTGCAACTTTGCTTCGCTTTGCATGTTTTAGGGTAATAAACAAAATGACATGTTTACAAGCTTCAAAACAATCCTGAAATGTCCTTTCTTCTTAATTAGAAGCAGGAGTGATGGTGGTCAACTCTGGTCTTCTCTCTCAGCTTGTCTCATCCTACTGAGGTCATTTTTTAACCATGTTTCTGCCCTCTCTTCACAGGCAGCCCTACAACATGGTGTTATAGCTGGCAGGAAAGGCTTCGGAAGCATTTTTGTTGTTGCTAGTGGCAACGGGGGACAGTATAATGACAACTGCAACTACGATGGCTATGCTAACTCCATCTACACTGTCACTATTGGTAAGAAGTACACCCTTTCGTTCTTAACCTTTCATTCAGCTGGACTAGAAACTTCATTGTTTTTAAATGTGTTTACCATCAGCAAGGGCAGATTTTAATATGAAAATTGAACTGAATAAATATGCGTCATTGCAAAATAAATACTCAAAAAATTTAATGTAGGTCAAGCAGTTTACAGCTGGAAAATTAATGGAGTAATATTGCTGTGTATGCTAGTACCACTCCTATGAGTATTCGGGGCAGAAATTATATTAATAGTAATTTGTTACTGTACTAAATAATTATTTTGAAAGATTTGTTATTTACTGAAATAGTAAAAGTACAGCTAATGGGGTGAGAAATTAACAGTAGTTTTGTCACTTGCCACTATAGAAGTTTGTACAAACTAGTGTATATATGATTGATTGGTGGGGCGTTGCTCCACGAAATAGATACCAGATCTGCTGGAGGTCATTGGCACAGTGTGCAAAATAGGCTAATTTTGTCTTCATTCCCTGTCAAAACAGAAGTAGTACATGATTAGCTCATGCCAAGTATCACTTTATTGTAAAAATAAATAAATAAATAAATAAATAAATAGATGAAAAAAGCCTTAACTCTGCATTTATATACTTATGGATGTTCATACTTTTTTCCACCCACTTATATATTTTTTCTCAATAGTTCCACTTTTAATTGAGAAATATTTTGACCCTGTACTTTAAATTAAGTGTAGTTAGTCTATATGTTTTCCACCCCTGCTGTTGTTGTTGGTATTTTAACTGTTCACTGAGAGTGAATGGTCAGTTTCTTTGTGTCCACGTATTAGGAGCAGTAGATGAGAACGGGAGAAAACCATTCTATGCAGAAGAGTGCGCGTCTATGCTCGCTGTCACTTTCAGCAGTGGAGGAAAACAACAGCGCAGTATTGTGAGTAACTACATCCTGTTGTCATGTTGCTTGTTGCTACCTTGGCTTACTTTTTTATTTATAATTTTGTTTTCTGCTGAATTTGAGACCTTACAGTCTTTCCAGTCTAGGTGATTTGCAGCTCTCAGACCTAAACTGTTAAATCAAATGTGAAGCAAAATATAAATAAGCAATGTGAAGCATAGCAAAGAAAACTTCAGAAGGAAAATTCTCTGACATGCTAATAGCAGCAATTTGAAACACTCACAAAATCAACAGTATGTTAGAACGTTTTACACACTACGTTATTTATTTTACACATATTGTGCCAGTTTCTAGGACATGTTTTAAGCTTAATCTCTGACTACATTTCAGTTTCAGTAGAGAATTATTAGGCCTAGGCTTAACCTGGGCCCATTGTGTATTTTAATGCATCAGTGTATTTGTATGTTTACCGCAGTACCTTTCTCCTTGGTCTATATTCCAAAGTTGTGCTTATCACTATTTAAATAAAAAGTAAGTTAATAAATAATAACTTCTGGCCAGAAATACTGAGATGTGTAATGATGTGCTCTGAGCTTGCTGTAGGAGTGCTGCGAGACCTGCAAATCAACAGCCAGATGCTTCGCATCTTAGTTTACGGATGAAGACTGGAAGCTTGTCATTTTGACACCATAATCAAATGCTGAAAAGCAGGCAGCAAGTGGCCCCCTCTGACATTATCCAAGCTAAGACATGTCTAACATGTACCATTAGAGTTATGACACTGGTATGAGTTTGTATGACAAGGCTGATATTTACACATGGGTCCCGGGACTGTAGACTGTGTAGTGTAGCTTACAGTAGTGCTGATGGATCATGCGTGTCTGCTTGCCTGGAAAAGTGTATATGTTTCAGGAGAGGGCATTTAGATCATTATTACATACGCACGCAGAGAGCCAGGCGAATAGCTGTGGGAAGAACATTAGAAAAGGCATGCTTGAAAAGCTTGTAATGTAAGGCTCTGTTTGGCATTGTTTACCCTTGTGTCCTTGGTGACATGGTTTGGCAGCTCTAATACACCGACCTCAAATGTGTTTAAGCCACTGCAACTGTCCAAAACCTCAGCCAGACTGAAAAATTGTATTCAGGGTTTGCCTCTCCCTTCTACTAATCTTCAGTAATGAGATTTATTTTACAAGCCTGCTTGGCTGCATTAGTCTCTCTTTCAGAAAACAGAGTTGGTCCTTTAGAACTTCGTTTTTTTAGAATTATTTGCAGGTTCCATCTATTTATAGTACTGTTCAGAAGTCTGTTTATTTAATTTCCAATCACAACAGCCATTAAGTACAAGTTTCCAAAATGGAGTCCAAAAAATATAATATACAGAGAAAATGGGACTCGTAACAGCTGTGCGAGACCTGGTAGTACACCAAAATCTGTCCCCATCAGATAAACAGCACTTAAAGAAAATTTCCACTCTTGCTTCAGATCTGGAAAAATCCACAGGTGTTTCTGTCCATTCTTATACTGTGAGAAGACAACTCAATGCCGTGGGTCTGAAAGAATGTGTAGATGTTAAAAACTGAGAAAAAGCGGGGAAAAAAGAAGAAGAAAACCTTGCAAATCAGACAAAAAAGCTGCTGGTGTTCTCAGAACAATGTGCTGACTACCCCAGAGTCCAGACCTCAACATCACTGAATGTGGATTACGTGAATCATGAAAAGCAGAAAATGCAACCAACTTCGAAGACTGAACTTTGGAAGTGTGCAAAAATATCCCTGCAGATTTCTTTGACCGACTGAAAGCAAGTCTTCTCAAAAGAATGGAAGTTGTAATAAAAGGCAAAGTGTGGAGACACTAAATGCTGAAAAAATGCTGATATATTTAGTTGTTGAGGCTTCTGTGTAATTTTCTGTTTAATATGTGTTTAATATCTGTTTTCCAGTGCTGAAAAATGAATAATTTGTACCCAGTGGCTGTTCTGACTGGAAACTAAATGAATGAAGGGTGGTCTCTGACTTTTGCACAGTATTATACACAAGACACTGGTTAAAAATCTGTTATTGCTGTGCTAAACACTCTGTATGGTGAGGCTGCTTTACACTTAAACCTTGCAGTGTGTCAATACATTGGCAAAAGTATTAGAGGACATATATGCTGTTGCTCTGAGAACTCTTTGTTTGATTTTTAAAAGGGTAAACTTGTTTGTAATAGAAGCCAGTGTGCAGATGTTGAAGCAATTGCCCTTTAGTTTCTGTTGTAAGTGTTTTTGGAGTCAACAGATATTCTGTTCTTTTACTGAGTTCAGGAAAATACCTCAAAATTATTGTCCATGGTAATTGGCCATAAGCTACAGATGCCACAGATAGAGATTTAGTTAGAAAATGTTGGAGTGTTCCTTTAAGGCATGTAGTTTGACATGGGAAATGACCATTTGTTCTTTTTAAATGTCTGATGAACAGCTGGTTCAAACCTTTGGGTCTGTGTGATATGTCAACAAGTTGCTGGGTGGCTGATTAAACGCAGAAAGACTGATGTAACAGAGCAAGGCTAGAGAACTGGCAGTTGAAATGGAAGACCTACATGAAGAGAGGAACTAACATTAGCATAGTCTGGATAGTTGGGAGATTCACTTCTTATTTTATTGCACATTTAAAAACATATCGAGTCATTACACACCTAGTATTGCAGTATCAGGCGATATTTAAGTTTACATTAATAAAGTTAATGACGTCATTCTTCATGAGTATTGCTGCTCTATGCTAGGGGAATGTCTTACAGATGTGACATAGCTTGTTTGATTCAGCTGTTTTGTTCTGTATTCTTCCCTTAAAATAACACCAGGGGAACCTTACTCAGCATTGTGAACATTAAACAGGCACAAGCCGCATTTCCAGAATGGAAACTGTCTGTTTATGTAGCGTTTGTATATTTTGGACTGTTCTTTCAAAACAAGTCTAAAGCATCAAATGACATACAGTGCAGTTAACTGCAGTTAACTAAGCAAGTCAGGTCCTGGATATCATAAGGAAAACTGCTTCAGCAAAAGGGAAACTGCTACTATATGGGCTTTAGATCATGGACAAAATACCTATCATCTATCAGATATATAACTTAATAATATTGAGAACCAATATCATGGTTCTCATTATCAATATCGTACAACTCCAATTCCAAAAAAGTTGTGATGCTGTGTAAAATGTAAGTAAATGTAAATAAAAACAGAATGCAATGATTTGCAAATCGCATAGACCCATATTTTATTCACAATAGAACATAGAACACATCAGATGTTGAAAGTGAGACATTTTACCATTTCATGAAAAACATTAAGTAATTTAGAACTTGATGGCAGCAACACATCACTAAAAAGTTGGGACAGGGGCAACAAAAGGCTGGAAAAGAAAGTGGTACTAATAAAAAAAAAAACAGCTGGAGGAACAATTTGCAACTAATTCACGAGTGGGTATAAAAAGAGCATTTTAGAGAGGCAGAGTCTCTCAGAAGCAAAGATGGGCAGAGATTCACCAATCTGCAAAAAACTATGTTTAAAAACTGTGGAAGAATTTCAGAAAAATGTTCCTCAGCGCATAATTGCGAAGACTTTGGATATCCCACCATCTACAGTACATATCAAAAGATGCAGAGAATCTGGAGAAATTCCTGTACACAAGGGACAAGGCCAACGGTCAGTATTGGATGCTCATGATCTACAGGCCCTCAGGCAGCACTGCATTGAAAACAAGCATGATTCTCTAGTGGAAATCACTGCATGGGCTCAGAAACACTTCCAGAAATCATTGTCTGTGAACACAGTTCACCATGCAATCCACAAATGCAAGTGAAAGCTGTATCATGCAAAGAAGAAACCATATATCAACACAATCCAGAAACACCACCATCTTCTCTGGGCCCAAGCTCCTTTAAGATGGGCTGAGGCAAAGTGGAAAAGTGTCCTGTGGTCAGATGAATCAAAATTTGAAATTCTTTTTGGAAATAATGGACACTGCATCCTCCAGACTAAAGACCTCCCAGCTTGTTATTAGCACACAGTTCAAAAACCAGCATCCATGATGGTATGGGGGAGCATTAGTGCACATGGAATGGGTGTCTTGCACATCTGTGAAGGCACCATTGATGCTGAACAAAATATACAGGTTTTGGCAACGTGCTCCCATCCAGACAGCATGTCTTTCAGGGAATGCCTTGCATATTTCAACAAGACAATGCTTAACCACATAGTGCATCCTTCACAACAGCATGGCATTGTAGAAGAGTCCGGGTGCTGCAGTCCAGACCTTTCACCAATAGAAAACATTTGGCGCATCATTAAACGAAAAATCCAGCAAAGAAGACCCAGGACTGTTGAGCAGCTAGAGTCCTACATCAGACAAGAATAGGACAACATTCCTCTCCCAAAACTCCAGCAATTGGTCTCCTCACTTTCCAGACGTTTACAGACTGTTGTTAAAAGAAGAGGGGATGCTGCACAATGGTAGACACGGCCCTGTCCCATCTTTTTTTAGATGCGTTGCTGCCATCAAGTTCTAAGTGAGTTAATATTTTTCATGAAATGGTAAAATGTTTTACTTTCAACATCTGATATGTGTTCTGTGTTGTATTGTGAATAAAATATGGGTCTGTGAGATTTGCAAATCATTTGCATTCCATTTTTATTTACATTTATTTACATTTTACACAGCATTACAGCTTTTCTGTAATTAGGGTTGTAGTACATCAGCCAGCATTACAGTAGTGTGCCAAAGTCAGAGACCACTGTTTCATGTTTTTAATTTCAGTCCAAATGACTATGAAGTACAAGTTATTTATTTTCAGTGTCAGAAAAATAGGCAAGAAATACATACACATAACAGAAAATTACAACACTAAGTATATCAAATCTATCAGTGTTTAACTTGTCCACTCTTTTACTTTACTGCCACTTTAACTCTTCCACCTTTCCATGACAAGAAGCCATTACTGAGAAAAGGTTAAGAAAAAAAGATAAGAATTTGCACTAGAAGTCTGAAACTGGACATCTGAGATGTGAGGCTTTATGGACTGATGAATCTAAATTTATTACTTGGATCATGTGAAGCAGAAAATGTGACCAACTTCTAATACTAAACTTTGGAAGTGTGGAAAACATTTCTGTACATTTCTTTTTAAAACTGAAGACCAGTCTCTCCTGGAAAGAATAGAAGCTGTAATAAGAGCAAAGAGTCAACACTGTAAACTATACGTTTTTTTTCTGATGCTTAAAAAAAGAAATATCTTGTACTTCATAGCCGTTTTGAGTGGAAGTTGAATAAATAAGAGGGTGGTCTCTGACTTTTCACAGCACTTTACTTTTGACCCCATTATGCCTTGAGGGACTCTTTTTGAACAATATAATGCTTTTGCTTTTGTAACAATAGAATGCGTAGTTCTGGATTTAGGTCACTTACTCTGATGTGGGCAGGAGCCCATAACTTGGAGACTTCACAATAGCTGCCTCTGTGGAGCTGCCTCAGTAGCTGCTGCTGAGGCAGAAATAGCTGGAAGTTTAATGTTATGCTCTCACACCCTTAGTCTTCGCTATATGTGCATGTGTTCAGCTGAAAGAAATCTTCAGACTTCTTGGTGATCTAACACATGGCATTTTGGCTCCCACTCACAGACAAAGCACCTCCAGGTCTGGGCAGTTGTTTAGACATTTTTCATGTGCCAGGCTCTTTTATTTGTTTACATAACCTCCCAGCTGCCTCACGCATCATATACTACTGTAAACCTGTAAGTGCTGTTTAACTTATCACAGCTTTACATCCTCTGAGTTTTGGCTGCTATTCGTTTTCTATTTGCTACCCTGAGTCTTAGTTGCTGCAGCTCATTCCCTCAGGCTTCATCATTTGAGTGGAGCATTTCTATAGGATAAAGATGTCTGCTTTAAAGAATTCAGCTATAATATTTTGTTTGTTGAGACTGATCAGAATAAAAAGATTTGGTGATTTTCTACAAATATCTCAGCTTAGGTTGAATAACACAGTCATGTTCTTTGCTTTGAGATACTTTCAATGCTGTTCATGAAATGATTATGCATGCCTGATCATCAGTGCTTATGATCATTAATGAATATGTCCTTTTGATTGCACGAATGAATCTCTGCCCTCCCTGTGAGTTCAGGAGTTTTCACATGTTTATGGATATAATTGGGGAACTGTTACCTAAAGGGCCCATGTCATGGAAAAAAACAGGTCTGTGCAACAATCAAAATAATCACAATTAATTGCACTCTTGTAGGTCATCATGATTAATCCCATTTTTGATGAAATGTGACCCCAAAGAGAGATTTTCTTTTTATTTAAAAATCCGTACATATAGTTGTAGTCACACTAGTGGACAAAATAAGCTTTATCTGAATGTATTTATTACTTTCAGTAATGCTGTATCATTATTTTCATTATGGGAATGCAGGGCTCACATGAACCTGAACATGTAAATAATTTGAAGCCATTGTGAACAAGAGAATAGCGTGAACGCAGTTTTTAATTTTCATCTCCAACGTCCAGAAAGGAAAAAGTTACTAGATCTTCCAAGCCCTATGGGATTGCAGCCCTCTCACTCTCATTCCACTTTTATACCTTCTTGTTTTGAAGGAAATGGTTGCTTTTATTGGTTTCTCTCTCATGAGCACTGTCCAGGGAAGTCTGCACAATTACTGATACTGCTACATTGTGTTTTGCTTGTAAATATTTGTTTAGCTATTTATATGGTAAACAGGATCACATCATGGCAGTAGCTGGAATTAATTTTGAGGGCCATGGAAGGAAAGCGGTGTTTGAACAAGAAGAGAAGCCTCAGAGTCAGTCTTAGCAACGGAGCACAGGGGGGAAAAAATATACAGGACAAGAACTGCTTGGCTTCAAAGTAGACTATGGATGGTTAAAAAGGTGAAACTAAGAACATGCAATGTTAACATTTTATGGTGTTTATAATGTGTTGCCAGTTTCAAAACAAATTCTATTCCCAGCTCCTATGATACATATTAGGCAACTAAGCTGCAAAAGGTGCCTGTTTTTGAATTCCTTGTTATTGTGTTGTCACATATCTACATATATCCACCCATTCGGACTACATCAGTTTAGCCCCTCCCTTTCACTTTGCATCACACAAGGCCACAAAAATATAAGTGGACTGTCTGTGAAAGAATCAGAAAACAAAAATGTAGGATGTGGGCCCTTGAAGCCTACATGCTGTTATTTGACTGGACAGGCTTGTTTCACAGCATGAGACTGATCTGAAATTAGGTTTGGGGCCAGTTTTTTGAGGGCAGTATAGTAACAGCTTTTGTTTTTGTTTATCTGTGTTTGTAGGTGACATCAGACTGGTCGCTGCAGCACGGAACAGGTTGTACTGATGCACACACAGGCACTTCTGCAGCAGCTCCATTGGCAGCGGGGATGGTGGCACTGATGCTGCAGGTGCGGCCTTGTCTAAGCTGGCGTGATGTTCAGCACATCATCACATACACAGCCACAAAGGTAAGGCTTTCTCTTTATTACATGCATACTCATACATATCAGTCCTCTCTTGACAGCTTAAGAGCAAGTTTTGAATAGCAGAGGTCAGGCATTACCATGCAAAAGGGTGCGCACACAGTACTGTGTAAAAGTCAGAGACCACCCTTCGTATATTTAACTTCCAGTCGAAACAGCCATCAAGTACAAATTATTCATTTTTTAAGAGATAATTTTGAGGAAATTAGACATGAGATAATCCACAATAAAAAGGAAGTCCAGATCTCAACATCACTGAATGTTTTTGGGATTACTTCGTTCATGAGAAGCAAAAAAATGCAACCAACTTCTAAAGACAGAACTTTGGAGGTATAAAAAAATGTCTATGCAGAGTTCTGGCAGAGGGAGTACACACTAAATACTGAAAATGTGGATATCATGTTTAGTTACTGAGGCTTTTGTGTAATTTTCGGTTGCATACGTTTTTTTTTTTGTAATCCTGATGCTGGTATCTGAATTTTGCACAGTACTGTTTGCACACCAAATGAAGAAATGTGTTGACTTGACATGTTGAAGGTGGCATCTTTACAAACTGTTATACAATACTGTCTTCTATGTCATGACACTATCAGTCATGAATTTCTTGCCTTCTTTATATCAATATTTATATACATGTATGCCATTGTTTTAAGTATGATACAGAGGCAGAATGGGAGACCAATGGAGCTGGCTTTCACCACAGCCACAAACATGGCTTCGGCCTGCTCAACGCCTGGAGAATGGTCAATGCTGCTAAGGTATAGCCTGTCTTCATCACTGTACTCTCACATTCAGAGATACATGTGGTAACTGTCTGTCTGTGTGTGCTGTGTGGGGCAGGTTTGGGAATCTGTGCCGTTCTTGGTGTCCTACCAGAGTCCACTTTTAAAAGAAGACCAGACAATCCCAGCCTACCCGGACAAAATCACCCTCGACTGGAATGGTAAGAGCTGTGTGTGTCTGTGTTTCTGTCAGATCCTATCAGTTTATTTTGTTTGTTGTACCTGAAAGTGTATCATGGCTGAATATTTTCTTTGGTTTGGTTATTTTCCATAAAAAGGATATATTCCCACACAAAACCCGAAACCACTGACTAACCTTACTAACTAAAAACATCCTACTTTTAAAAAACTAGAATACTGTGTCTTTCTTTCTATCCTTTTCTCTGTTTTGTTCTGTGTGCTGTCTCCACTCGGCTACTCAACGAACACTCACTCACTCTTTGCCTAGCAGCAAGAGGTCATGGTCTGTACTGGAGCACAGTCGTCATATTTACCAAAGTCTGTCCATAACCAGATTCCTTCTTTGGCCTGTAGATAGAAAACAGACTCTCATTCTGCTGTGCTAGAAACAATTGAAATTTCCACTTTTCTAACCTTTCAGTCAAGTATATCGCTGTTGTTGTGTCCAAACCTTGTATCTCCTAAATGCTAACTTTACAGGAGATTGAAAAAAACCTACTTTACTTTTAATGCAAGTCTATGGAACCAGACCAGAGTTTCTTTTGGTCCATTCATCATGAATTTACACACATGTAACAGGCATTTTCAAATTATGTCAAAAACTGAAAAATGGAGATACAAGTTTTTTTTTATTTATGCTCTGGTGGACGTATCCAAATGAGCAGCTTGGTCCATCAAATCTCTATATTTGTCAGTGCATAGTCTTGCAACATGGACGCAAAAAGTGCAGGGTGGTTTGACCCCAGTCATTGCTGTATGCAGCTGTTAATAAGGGACCCATATTTGACCTTTTTCTTGTATTCCATTACAGGTCCTCTTATGCTGTGTAGGTGGTTTTATGTATGCAAAACAGTCATAATTGATATTTACATGACCATTTTACAAGCTCTCTTTATCTCTTAAAGTGAACAGGCTGTTTTTGTTACTGTGCCTTTAAGACTGATATATGTAAATGAGCTCTCTTCTAATTGGGTGCCCTGTATTGTGCCTCATTCAGAAAACCAGTCCAGGCTGAAACATTCTGTATGTATATCCCCCTATTCAGCTGCATGAATGGGCAGGGCTAAACTGCTGTAGGCTGAATATGGGGCTATGTGTAAATGTGTAAACATGTTGTTTTTTGTGACATCACAAAAACAGCGAATTAATAACAGCCTGTTTTTGCAGCTTAGTTTTCATGGACTGTCGAGTGATATGATATGTTGAGACATTAACAGTGTTTGCTTAGAACATCAATCTCTTTTATTCTCAAAAAAGAGGAAAGCTTGATTTTCCATGATGTTGGCCCTTTAATATTGGCAAGTATAGTCTGTTTTGACCTTTAGTTAAAAATTGATTTGATCTCTTTCTGTCATCCAGAGCTACTTGTTACTCAGGAGGCTGGTTGCAGTGCAAGTGTTTGTTTGAGATTAAGAGAGTGGGAGAGAGAGAGAGAGTTTAGTAGGACCTTGCCAACTGGCAATCAGTGATCTGCCCTTATTAGGCAATGTTTTGCAACGTCTGTGTCACTGAATGCACAGAGAAACCAAGAGATCTCTTCCCTCCCTTTTCCTCTCTATCTGTTTCTCTCCATTTGTTCATTTCCCCCTTGTCGTTAACCACTGCTATCACAAAACAGCTCTGCTATCGAATGAGGAGTGACTGTGTAGATATATTTCTCCTTATTTCTCCCTCTGTCTCGCTCTTATGTTTGTTATTCCACACTCTCATGCTGGCCTCTTTCTAAATAAGACATCAGTGGATTGTCTCCATCTTGGGCCCTGTTTTCTGGATAATTAGTAGCTGTGGAAAGAGTGGTAGCATTGCCTCTTGTTCTGCAGTACTGTGTGTGGAGAGGAAGAGTATGTCCCTATCTTTCTTCTCTAATCACTAGCCTAGTCCTGTCTGTGTCTGTTAATATGAGGGAGTACAGACACATATTTTCCCTTAGTGGGATCTGGGTGATGGTGAGACACAAATACAAATTTTATTACACATTTCCTTTTTAGAGCTTTACTAAACCTTAAATGACCATTTTACAACCTCTCTTTATCTCTTAGAGTTTAAACAGGCCGTTTTATTTCCTGTGCAGAAAGACAGAAATATGTAAATGAGCTCACTTATGATTGGCTGTTGTGTGTTGTTCCTTATTTATCTTTATGTACTTAGAGCATATTACATATAAAGACATATTTTTGGCCACACAAATTAAAAATTAGCTGAACTAATCTGGCTGTCCTTGAATTGGTTTGTCTTTAATTTACATTGCAGCCGTTTTCTCAATGTAGCACTGTTAAAATGGGAGGTGGGCTGTGAGAACCCGAAATTTGTACCTACCCCAGCTTGACACGTATTTGAGAAATGACGTCCAAACCCAACAAATATTTCAAGCTCCAGTCCTTTTCCCTTTCAACCTGACTTTTTGTCTGAAGTTGTATACCATTGATATAGAATTAATAAAGAAAATATTTTAAAAAATTCAAATGGCAAACAGTTACCTTAGATGAAAGATCTAAACCAAAAATATAACATCATCTGTAAACATTACCGCTTTCATCCCTACCGTGTTTTTGCGACTTACATCACAACATACTGATGGTATGCTTTAGTTAGCAGATATAATATGATATATATATATATATATCACAAGGGCCTCTAGAGGGACAAAGGCTAGAAGAGGAGCCCATCCCCTTTTAGCTAGCTTGAGTTAGCAGGGACTAGTGAGACAGAGATGTTTTGTCATTAGAAGATTAATGCAAAAACAGTGAAGGATAGAATTTAATAGAGACAGCAGAGGTCAGACACAACGTGATCTACAATGAATAGATATTTTGTATAATATCAGCATAGAGGAAATTTGGGTAAATGCAGATTAGAATCAAATGTCCGTAATGCCGAACTTGATAAGGCATCAGGTACGCAAGGTGCAAATTAGGATATCAGATAGGTCACCACAAACAAACTATTCCTTTGTTTGCTTTCGTTTTGTCTTTCTTGTACAACTGTAGTTTAGGCTGGTGGTCATCAGAAAGGTAAGAACTGATGCATAGCTTCATCAGAAAAGTCAAAAGTAGTGCATAGAGTTGTGAAAAAGGTGAGAACTGGTGTATAAGGTCATCACAAAAAATGGAAATGATGCATAGGGTCATCAGAAAAGTCAGAACTGCTGCATAGAGTCTTTACAAGCAAAGTGAAACTCATGCTGCAAATCCCTGCACGCACTCACACCACTTTCCATCTTCTCCATAGACCACAGCATCCCTTTTCCCGGCATTACGAAACATGAAACAGGGTGTAACGTGACAAGTTGATCCAGTCACTCTATTCGGCACGCAGCCTCAGGAGCAGAGAGCTTTCATACATAATGCAAACTGCACCTGGGCTTACTTGAAACGAATCCCAGACGGTTGTTTTCAGGAGCACCAGGGACGTGTTCACTTGACCGCACCTGGGCTCTGAAATAGCTTTCATGCTGTACCTAATGTACTAAACCTTTGGTGGAAGACGCCCTCAGGCCAGAAAAAACTCAAGTGTGAAAATCTCATATATGGATCATTCTATTGAACAGGTTCAAACTCATTTTGGACTTACAACTGACTTGGACTTTAGACTAAAATCTTTTTGCTTTGAGTGACTCTGTACTTTAATTATGTTTAGTTTATTAAAACGAATGAGGAAACATTCCATTTTGTCACTGCCAAAACAATCAAAACACTACCAAAACTTTAGTAAATGTTTCAGTAGTGACTGTTTTGATAGTGAGAGAACTCAAAAATGCTAGCCAGTACGTGACTAGCAGTTGCAGCAACAACAGTTGTACATGCATAAAATAGCATTTTTTTATTAAAACACAAAGTTTACTTAGTAGCAGAAAATATGTTTCAGTATCAATGTTCCACACTGATTTTCAGACTTTGGAACACATTTACTTCAAAACAATGGGATCTAACTACTCACCATGTGGCCATGAAGGACAGGGATGCAGTCTCACTTCCTGCTCTAAAATATGGGGGTGTGGCTAAAGTAAGGCTCCGCCTATGGACTAAATATCATTATGTTTTGGTAGTGAAATATGTGGGATAACACTTTTTGAATATTTTTTTTTCCTACTAGAAAGAACCCTATGTAGTACCATATTGTAGCTTATTACTATCTTAATTAATGCCTTGAGTTTAGATAGATCATACTATAATTCCTGTAAATATCTAAGATCTGAATACTTAACTGTTTTTATAAATAGTTTTTTAACTCTGGAACTGCAGTTTGGACTAATTCAGTAAAATGGTCTACACAGACCTCAGGAACAGAATCCGAACTGGGACTAGGATGACACTGGAGACCAGAGCGATGAATTAGTCAGTAGGAAATTATGCTGAGAGAAAAAGTAATGGAGGATTTCACTGTGGTATGTTTTTTACATCTTGATGACCAAAGGCGAATACATAGTCATATGCCAAAGTGTAAGGGATTGGATCCCCAATCAGTTTTTAGACATTTTGTTAATTTTTGAAGTGAAAATAAGTTAATACATCCTCTACGGGGAACAAATTTAAATATGCTATTTTGCTAATTTTAGGGTACATTTCTATTAATTTGCTAAGGTTAACATATTGAAAAAAAACATAAATACAAGCCCCCAATGTTTTTGACTCAGCAAATAAACAGTAAGTATGCATTAAAAAAATGTGCAGTAATATCTTCTCTGTAGAGAATGTTTACTTATTCCTACTTAGAAAATAAATAAAAACGTCATTTGATCAGACTTATGCATTTGGCTGTAGGATTACTGCACACTGCTTTAGACCACATGCAGCAGGTCCAGCAGTACTAAGATGGGGGTGGTTGAGTCAGGCTGTATGAATGCCAACGAGTGGCTGTTTTCCTCTGGAGAGCCGTATTCAAAAAGAGGCACAGAAGAAAACAGCAGATAAAATTAACTGAAGGTCTGAAATGTCAAGTGTTAAGTAACATTTTGAAAAAAAAAGATTGAAATGCAGCCAGAGATGTTTAACATCCCTTTTCTCTCAGCAGCCGACATGTTTACATGTGTTGTTTGTGTGTTAGTTAGAGAGTCTGGCACCCTGGCGAGAGCCTAGGGGATTTGCAGTATGCAGTTAACTGCAATACAAGACTCCTCAGGGAGTTCTGAATTCATCAGAAGCTCATCACTTGTTTATGCTTGGTTTGGTATGTGCACTGTGGTTTATATTTTGCCTGTTTTTTTTTGGTTTTTTTTTTCCACAGAACTGTTGTTCTTTTTTGTGGTATACAGGGCTGTAGGCTTAAAGTTGGAGAGCCAAAATTCACTGGCCAAAAAATAAAAGTTCACAAAATAATATAAGCAGAGAATAGATAAATAAGTTTACATGAAATAAAATTATTACAGTGTGTAAAGATCCAACATTCTCAGCATTAGAGAACAGTTGGTCATCCAAGGCATTAAACTCCATTTCTTTTTTTTTTAGTTACACTTTGAACTTTGGCTATTGTTTGTCAGTTGTTTCTCGGCTACAGATGGTTGTACTCACAGGGACTTTCTGCTTGTATTGATTTGCTTTGTTCTTCATATCACAGGATGTTGTGTTTTCAGATGGAATCAAACCTGTAGTACCTTCTCTTGATACTTGATACTCTTGACTCTTGATAATTACCAATTGCTTGTCTAATGTCCCTCACAGAAACCAGAAGACAGTCCCACACAGCCAACATTTTTACTGTTGATACAATGATAAGCCCAAAATCAGTGAACCACAAACAACACCACCCTCGAGACAAACTGAGCCTGTTTTAACTGCTGAGCATTGCTTGCAAAACTGGGAACTGAAGAAGCTACTAGAGTGCAGGGCAGCATTTACACATTGAAGAATATTTTTCAGCTTTCAGCAAACTTATTGTTTTTTTTTTTTTGTTATGATTGAACTTTGTATTATTTTTAATTTTGAAGCGAACATAGAAATTCCTATAATAATTGTCATTGGTTGCAATTATAATAATAGTAATAATAATAATAATAAGAAGAAGAGCAATAGCATAATAATTATTATTATTACTGTTATTGCAGTGTTGTTTTGTTTTTGTTATTACTGTTGTTACTTTTGTAAATCTCATATCTGATATCGTTCTCGTCAAAGTGGTAGACAATATAGTGATGGAAATTGAGTGCATTTCACCCACCTTTACCATATACATAAACATACATTCAGCTGTTTAGCTTGCAGCAGTTTAGCTCTGCCTGTTTATGTTGAAGTTATAAGAAGTGCTTCAATGCAGACTTTTTTGTATGAGGCACAATACAGTCATTTACATATCAGTCTTAAAGACACTAAAACAAAAACAGCCTGTTTAATTCCAGGGGATAAGCAGAGTTTGGTAAATGGTCATGTAAAAATGAATTATGACTATTTTTGTTACATAAAACCACACAAACTTTATATGTGGACATCAGGGAAGAAAATAAAAAAGCCCAACTTTGAATCCCATTTCAATTATATGTGTAGCCAAATATTTTGCCTATTTATTGGCTGTACGCACAAAACCTATAGGCCTGAACAAGGAAATTATACATTCAGAATGAAGTATGTAAAAAGATATGTAGTCTTTATGCATCTCTGTGGTTCACTCTCCTTAGGAAAGGCTACTTCCCTATATGGTTATGCCGTGTGGGAGCACATTAGCAAACAGTGTTTGAGGAAATGCCAGGGAATTACAGTGCACTGGACACCGCTGCAGGAATTCAGAAAGGAGAGGAGAGGCAGACGGCCTTGTTCTCTACTGCAGTAGCCTTTTACTGTGTGTTTGTGTTTGAGCAATACCTTCAGACCCATTAACCAGGAGGGAGTGGGTGACGCGTATGTTTTTGATTGTTTCAGCATCACAGTTACGCAGTAAAGAGGAGTAATTCATTCCATTTAACAGTTTTGAATAGAGCAGTACCATGTATAGTTCATTGTTTAGCTTTTGTGATAATGACAACTCATAAGGCTGCTATGTGCAAATGAACTCTCTGCCATGCCACAGTTTTTATTGCGTCTGTGAACATCCTGATGAAATGTTGGATATTCCAGATAAATGTTACGTGGGTGTTTTTATGGTTCAAGGCAATTACATGATTAAACAAAAGTGACCTCAGTGTGCTTTAATGTATTGCAATACATATCACAAACATAATATGTACCAGTATATTTACAATATGATTTTGAATAGATAAACTGATATATGTTGATATTTTTCATTATTTGAAACCACTGGTTTGCAGTTTCATATGTAGTAAATCTAGGGCAGTTTCCATGTGAGCCAGATGCCATTAAAGGTTTACAGACGTAAACAAAAAAGAAATCACGTCAGATTTTAAAAACATAAACATTACCACTACTGCTAACTTTCACATTAGAGCTCATGGTTGCTCTTGTAGTTCATTTCCTCATTTTAATGCATGAAGCTCCAAACTGCAGAGCTGAGGTTGAGCTCCTCGTACAGCTTGTTGAACTTTGTTAGCAGAAGGGGCCGTTACCTAGCGTCTGCGTCTTCAAGTCACACGAGGAACGAAAAATGATAACTTGGTCGCAGTTACTATTTAATAAATCCATTTGTTCTTCGTCTGCATCTTCTTCCTGCGTTCTCATTGCATTGTACTTGTATTGTGCAGTGTGCATTGGATGTCAGTGTTTCGATGTGTTAAACCCATAGAAATTGACTGGTGTGAAAAGACTTCAGTGTGACTAAGCATTATGCTACAGTTAACCACAGTAGTATAAATAGTACTGCCCTCATGCTGTTTGCTCTCAGTTCTGTGTGTAAATGAAGTAAAACAAAGGAGTTTGAGCTAATGGGTCAGATCTCATAGCCGCTATCAGTGCGATATAAATCAATACGTTGTCCCAGCCCTAACATGCTGTGCAATCATACAATTCTTGTCTGCCCTGCAGTTCCCATAACCCTTGTCCTCAAGCAGCTTGGTCCAGATCAACTTGGCAATGCATTTTTCCCCCAAACGTACTTTAATGTTTGTGTTGGATCAGCCATCCACAAATAAAACTGAAAAATAAATCTAACTCTTTGTGAAAGTGCTGTTCTGACGTTACTGAACTTGATTGATATTTTGCAAAAACAAAGGTTACAAGCTAGCCAGTGTATTAGCCAGCTGGTGAATGAACAAGCACAGATAGTTGCATTTGTTTTAGTATCAGAGTTGAGTATGTGCTGAAGTGTGCTTGATGTTTGCACAGACATTCAGTAGTATATTGCAATTATAATAGATGTTAGCCATTATAACTATGAAAAGGAATGTCAATGTGTAGAAAAGTATGCATATTATTATGGACTTACTGACCAAAAGATTAGGGATGCACCGATATGAGAATTCTGGGCCAATACCAGTATCTCATGTTTCAAACATACATGTGAATGTCGATACTGATGTATATGCAATTATACAATCTAGAAGTAGCACTACAGGAAATGTAACATGAATGTACAGAGTTACAAATGCAGCAAAATAAGTAATGACTTCTTAGCACAGTAGCTTAGCAACGCCTAAACGTTCTTTTCTTCTAACATGCAATAAATGCATCGTCAAATATTGTTTTGAAATATCTGCTAGTTTGTTTGATCCAGAGACAGTTTTTTAGCCAGTTAGATGCAGGCAGTGGTGGGCGATATGGCAAAAATATCATGAAACATAAAGACGTTTTATTCAACTTTTCACATGCTTTACTTAGTCAAATTAAACAGGCCTAATTATGTAATGAAACATGCAGCTGGTCATTGTTATTTAAATATGGACTATTGACTACTGTATCATGATAACTATAAAATATTGTCATATTGCCCACCTTTGCCTGCTGATACTGGTGAGATTCTGATATCATAGTGCAACCCTAAAATATAATATACATCAACTGTAAAAATCGGTATGAATTATGTTTTCTGTGTTTCCTGGGCACTGTGAAACTGCAGTACAGCAGTGATAATGTGGAGTTTAATGGTCATTCATTCAGAAGTTCTAATGCTTGAAATTACATAATAGAGATCTCTCTCTCTCTTACAGTCACAGCTGCAGACCTTCAGCAGTCAGGCATGCAGACCCTAGAACATGTGTCAGTTACCGTGACAGTAACCCACCCTCGGCGTGGCAATGTGGAGATTGTGCTGCTCTGCCCAAGCAGAATGACCTCACTCATTGGGGCCAGAAGAGTCTTGGACACGTGAGTACAGAATCTCTCCTCTCTCTCTCTCTCTCTCTCTCCCTCTCCATGCTGGGCCTGAGTGCAACTTTGCTTCGGCTTGAGCTATTGCTGCTGGCCACTGATTACACTTTTATCACGTATTAGTGCCAGCTCATTTCAGCACATTCAAATAATGACCACTTGTCCCTTCTGGACGGCAGTAGTGCCTCTTAGGGACCTCATGAAACACTTTAAGGCAGTAGATTTCCAAGATCAGGGTTGGGCCCTCTTGGGCAAGAGCTCCACACATTTACATAAAAAAGGCAGTGAAGCCCACATAGCCCTCGTCACTCATTCTTCATGCTCAGGGTTTGCCAGAGCTAACTGATTATCACAGCCTTCCAGCTCTGAGTGCATCGTTGTTGTTTTGAACAGAGATGCCACCGGCTTCACAGACTGGACGTTCTCCACTGTACGGTGCTGGGGAGAGCGAGCCGAGGGCCAATACAGCCTCCACGTTACTGACCACAGTAAGGCTTTTTTTTGCATCTGGGGTTTATAAAATCTCATATTTCTCCCTGCACTTCTTGGGTTTATGAGAGTTTATTACTTTTGCTGTCCCAGGAGAAGCTGCCCCAGGAGAGGCTGTCCTTTCTCTGGGCACTCTGAAGTATTGGAAACTCACTCTGTATGGCTCATCTTTATCCTTCCAGGAGGTGTTGGACAGACGGAGGTGAGTTACAAAGCTCCAATCATCATCCCTGCCCAAAGTGACGCCTTATACAGTATGGATTAAAGTAGGGCTGCACAGTATATTGTTTAATCATTGTCATGTCGATTGTAATCAGTCTTTATCATGAACATAATGGTAATCAACCTTCACAATAATAAATTTCCTGATCCTTTGCTTTCATAATACATCATCATTATTAATTTTTATTGCATTTTTTATATGTGTAAATGCTGGTGCATTCTATCTATTCCAAGTTGTCAAACCTCTGAAAAACTAAACATTATGATGCATATTGTCTCTTGAAACTACCTTCATATATCATGATATTGTATTTTTTCCATGCCACCCACTTCTGCTAATCACTGTATGTCATTGTGTCCACATAGTGCAGCTCTACATTTAACATGTCAAGATGTAAACCTTGATAAATGTGCTTGCTTCCAATCACAGTTTCATGTCAGAGTAATCAAAGCAATGTTTTACCACTGCAAATATTTGACCTGTTTTCAACAAGTCATACTTTTAGATCTGTTTTCTTTGCATCTAGACTAGAAGGAATGTATGTGTGGAAGTGTTTCCCAGCTGTATTTATAGCTCATAGTGAGTGGACTCTGATTGGTTATGTTTGTTGATTGACAGGCTCGTGGAGGAGGCAATGAATGGCCAGTATCTGCACAGCAATTTCTCACTTCCCTGTCCTCCTGGTTTAGACATTCCTTCAGAAATAGTGAGCCCTTTTACCTCCAACAGCCTCAAGGTATCTCTTTCTCTTTTGGAATTTTTCATCCATTTTTACATCTTTGAGTTTAATGTTTTTAGACATTGCATTGGCTTTGCATTTGTAACATTGTTAGCAACTTTAGCACAGTCAGCATTAGTGACAGAAAAAGTAGCCCTTTTCCCTCAGCCTCAAGTTTATTGAATTTCAGAGCATTTCATGCTATTGCTGATCTTCAGGCAGACTAGGGCTGGGCTTTCTTTGTGCTTAAACCAGACCACACCTAATCAGTCTTGTTCATTTCATCTATACTTTAAGACACTTTGGTAGGTTTCCTAAGTATAGAAATATATTGCCGTGGCCAGAAACACTTTGCACATTGTAGCGTTCAGGCAAACTGTTGATATTAGTATTGTGAAACTTGGCCATCTGGAAGATATTAAACTATTGGTGCTTTAAAAAAACATGAAACACTTTAAGTATTTCAAATGAAAGGCATGACCAATCGCTTAGTAGAAAATGACCAAATACAGCAGAACTATTTATGAATCAGTCAGTTTGAAGAATGGTGAAGCTGAACTTTCTTCACAAATGCACTGCTGCAGATACACTCTAATGCAACAGAATCATACCAATGGACTAAAACTCTACTACTGTTGTAGTAAGCCTGCATTACTAATACATATTATTATGTATGAGTATATACACTATGTGTTTGTGTAAGTTTGTAGACAGTTGCACATCCAGCATTTGTTCTGAAATCAAGGGTATTAATAGGGAGTTTGTCCCACTTGGCTGCAGTAACAGCCTCTACTCGTCTGGAAGGCTTTACACTAGATGTTGGAAAATTGCTGTGAGCATTTGATTGCATTAGACCACAAAAGCATTAGTGAGATAAGGTATGGATACCTCTTTCCAAAGGTATTGAATGGAGCTTCATCACTCCAGAGATCGCTGTTCCACTGCTCCATAGCTAATGCTGTGGGGCTTTATACCCCTTTAGCCGATGCCTGGCTGTGTGTGTGTGTTTGTGTGTTTAATGCTACTCTGTATTAACACTGTTATCTGTATACTCTGGCCTATTTGCATTAGCATAGTCAGACGTTTTCCTAGCAGACAACAAAGCACTTCTGTAAGTCATCCTGGATAAGGTCATCTGTCAGCTACTCTAAATGTAAACCCCTCTGTTCTCTGTATCACGCTCCAGTCTTTGCTGCTCCTGGGCTGTTTCGCACTCTTCTGGTCACTCTACTACACCCTGGAGGTGACCCTGGCCCACGTAGACTGGCGAGTGCTGTTGCGAGGGCTTCGAGGGACCAGCAGCAGCGGGGCTTGGGGTGGGGCTGCTGGCCCGAAGGACGGCCAGTTGCTGGAGATGCAGCCTGTGACGGACATAGAGGCCAAAATGCCCCTCATTGCAAACGATGAGGACACATAGCACTCAGGGGAAAAAAACAATAAACTGGAACTGGACCTATAACCCATGCACCTTACTCAGGCTGAGCTAGCACCTCTTTACAAGCTGGCCAGTGTTCAAGTGCTCACTCTAGAACAAAAAGGTGGGTTCTCTTAGCTGTGATTTTTATTAGGGTTTGATGTGATGGACCTTTTAGCTGATGTGTGGAATGCTCTGAGCATGGCTGGTGCACTGTCCCATAGGACACATCTAGACTAAACTGAACAATGTATTACCAAGGAGAACAATCGATGGACCATTTGTTGTTTTCAGGATCAGGAGCCTGCTTCTGAGGTTGACAAATGGTACTGGTGGTGTGAGGTATGTGTGTGTTGTATGTGAATGAGAAAGGGGAGGGTGTATGCGTGCTTTCAGATATGCGTGAGTAAGAAAGAGTGCTATATTTTTTATTAAATTATATACTTTTTTGCAGGGTTTGTTCTTTTGAAATATATACATATATAAATATATTGACTGGGTCAAATGCATCCAGCACTTTTGGTTTCAAATTTTCTTTTCCCAACAGTTTTTTTTTTTCTTTTTTCCCCAAAACTTTTAGGCTGAACATGTGGAATGATGCACATAATTGAAAATAACTGTTCTACACAGCTATATCCATTTTACAAGGCATGATTTCTATGAAAATGGATGCGTTTTAAGACTTAAGTCTTTTTAAATGAGGTGAAGTGTACTTGTATGAAAATCCAAAGATTGAAATGTAAATAACAGCTGGTCTGAATTGAGACAATAAAAACATGTCAGCTGAATCTTTCATCTTTTGACGTCTGGTTCGTCTACTGCAGTGGAGCCTAATCCTGGTCCTGGAGATCTACCAACTTGTAGAGTTTAGTTCCAATTCTAACACACCTGATTCAGATAATGAAAGCCTTCAGGGGTATCTGAATATTAGAGACAGGTGTAGAAATGTCCAGGCTGGTAGGTCTCCAGCACCAGGATTGGGCATCTGCCGCCCTGGTGATAGACTGATTTCCATCTGATCTGAGTATTTAAAGGAGTCTTATGAGCATGCAAGGTTTTCTTAAGGTTTGCTGCATTTTTTCAGTGGGGAACCCTCAGGGCCTTCAGAGAAGGCCTATTTATTTCTGGCAAGTAAGGAAATGTATTTCTGTAATTTTTAATTTCTTTTATTTAATAGAATTGTATTGAAGCTATGCAAGTATTGTAGTAATACTATTTAATTGTTCTGGTTGGAAACAAAAGGTTTCAGATCTTGATCTTGAAACGCCCAATGAAAAATTGTCCAATCAAATATTTTTTCCCTGTGATATCTCAGTAGATACAGCCAATTGGACTTCAGGAGATAAACAGAAGGCCTTGTATGTTAGATTATCTACCAACATAATTAGGGAGTGAAATCAGACAGTCATGTTTTGACCAATGAATCGTGAGAAAATACGTCACTCTAGGCCTTCTAGAAGTTCTCGAAATGTCAGTGATTGCGAATATGAGCTGTAGTCTAACTAGGTTTCAGTCAGGTTTTAGGAATGGAAAACTGCCAGGATTCTTACTGAGTCACTGTAAAATTGCTACAAGGTGTTAATGTCTATTACAAACTTCAAATAAAACATGAAATGTTTTTTACAAGCTTTAAATGTGTTTTAAATGTGTGTTCATATTTCCGATGAATTTCCAAAAAATGTGCACCAGCGTTAGCTTAGTGCTAACATACTACTAGATAACACATAGGGGTGCTAGCAGAAATTGGCCTGAACTGAAGGCCTGCCTCTAATAGTTATGGTTCACCACTGCATTTTCTGTTTTCAGCAATATTTTTGAATTGCTCAGAAACACTGCTGTGGCCTTTATGGCACATACCGTGCAGAAGTTACATGTTTGACTCTTTCCTGGCAGGAGGCCTCATAAACTTCACTGTGAACTATAGTCCTGGCCCAGCTTGTTGCTAATTTTCCTGTGAAAATGAACTGAACAGAAAATTGGTCTGTGCCACTGAATACAGTTTGGTGGTCGTCCTGCTGTGTTGCATTTCCAGTTCTATGACTGAGGATCTTCAAATCTGTACTATTGCTTATCTGTAATATCCCATCTTAAGAAAGAGCAGTGAAGCCTCTTTTTGTGTCATCCTTTAATTAGACAAAATACAAAAATACAAGGCTGCACCTGTGCTGTGTGTCAGAAAAACAGCCTCACATTTTAGAAATTACAAATTCCAATCATACAATAACTTTTTTTTGCTGAGCTTTATTTGTGTTTAGCTTCACCGCCAAATAAAACGTTCCCCTAAAATAACAACGTTGTTACAGACATCCAAATGATTGCAACCCTTTAAATGATGTTCTGTCAGTCATTGAGTTCCTTTATTATGCTGTTACCAAAGTCGTGTCGTTGTTGGGAACATCAGGACATAAAAGCCACAACCAAGGTTTACAATATTCTTGTGCTGCATTGTCAAGCCACGATTCATTCAGCATTTGCAGTAACACAATCGTTCATTAAGACTTGCAGACATGCAGACTTGCTCGTTGTCGCAGACCTACATAATGGCAATGATGGTTTTATTTATGATTTTGCATGAGCTGGATTAAAGTGAGTGCTGTATGAGTGGGAATGTTGGTTCTGTTCTTGTCTGCTCTGGGTGAGGTAAACTCTAGAATCGCCGGGGCAGGACCCAATTTTAGAAAGGCTCTTTTGGGGTGGGGGGTAAGGGAGGAAACAATGGGGGCAGCTTTGGAGGGGGATAGTGGATTCAGTTGTTTATGATCTGTCTGGGTCTACCATAGCCTGTCATGCCAGCTTGGGATGCCCCTTTGTTGGAGCCCATCTGCAGGCCGATAACATGCTTTCCTGACTTCATCTGGTCGTCGGAGAAATCCCGTCGGTTCTCCTGAGCTTTCCTGCGATGGAAACGGAACAGCGTGATTATTCATCACTTGTGTACTCAAGCCCTGCTTGCCTGCAAAACCAGGGGTGCCTATCCCTGTTCCTGGTGATCTGCTCAACCTGCAGAGTTTAGCTCCAGCCCATGAGGTAGTGCATTAAGTAAGGGTTGGAGCTAAGCTTCGCAAGAGGGTCGATTTCCAAAGGTTTGGGGAGGGCAGCCCTTGGCTAATTTGAATTTATCAGATAGATGAGGTTAACAGATATTCCAGGCACTACTCACTTGAAGAACCAATCAGGGTTACCACGGAAATTTCCGTCATCCTTTGTGACTGCAATGCTGCCAAGGGCCATCAGTGTTCTCTGCACTGCAGCCAAGTCTTTCCCTTTGGGCAAAGAAAAGTGGAGTTATGATCGAGCTAAAACAAAGAGGCAGTGATAACAGCAAAGGAGAGCCCTCAGAGCACACATGTCTGTAATTTGTAGTTCATTTTCTTTACTTCATGTACACGATTTGCAACTTACCCTAGATGTAGTCGATCAGCAAAGACGTGATTGGAAAAATTTGGTCTAAGTTTAGAACTGGAGCTACGAGGTTAACATTGCACTCACTAGAACTCAATAGTCACCAAAATAGCCCAAAAAATTCTGTACAAGTACATCCCCAAAACTTCTCTCAACTGGCCCAAACCACATCCAGGGCTTCATTAAGGTTGTGCAAGCTTCACTACTGCGGGCAGCCAGCTGGTGTTTTTTAAGCAATGTTAGCCTCGCCGCTCCAGTTGTAAAGATGCAGAATTTGGACTCGCCATGTCTTGGCATATCAACTACATTTGGGATACAGAGAAAATTGTGTAAAATAGATTTTTCGCCAAACCATTGTTTTAAGTTTTGGTTGGAAACAAAAGGGTTACATCTTGAAACAACCAACAAAAACTTTTTGAAATATATGTTAATATCGCTTAGAACACCCAAAAAAGGGTTCATGTGTGCTCTGTTAGCTTGGTTAGTGCTAACATACTACTAAAAGTTCCACTGGAGTTCCAATAGAAATGAGCTTCATCATAGAGATGCAGTGTTTTTTGGACATTTAAGAAGCTCGAGCTGAACTCATGGTACGCCACTGAATAATAGTAACCATAGAAGGTGACTGATTTTGGGCCATCTTCTTCTTGCAACCACAAGTGGCTCTTTTAAAATGTGATGGCCTAGATCAGTGGTCACCACCAACCCTGCCCCAGGAGTTCTACTTTCCTAAAGGTTTCACCTCCAACCCAAATCTAAAACACCTCCTTCAGCTAATTAAGAACTTCTGAAACCATTATTAGATGGTTCAGGTGGGGCTGATTAGGGTTGGAGCTAAAGTCTGCAGGAAGGTAGATTTTCAGGAGCTGGGCTGGTGCCCACTGGCCTAGATACTGGTTCACTTACCTTCCCAGAGATCGACGGTCTGAAACATGTCGGTTTTGGTCACACCATACGCCTCTGCAGCGTTGAGGAACTGAGACACCTGCTCCATCTGTTTGAAGGCCATAGGTGAGCTTTGGATCTTCTTTACAGGCTTATCTCCATCATGGAGACTGTTGATGAGCTCGCTCAAGACCTGAAAGACACCAGGAAAGTGATGCTTTGCAGATGATGATTTCAGTAGAGTGTTAATGTAGCGTTTGACCGTTGGTCATAATGTCAGAAGTGATATGGTCAGGTATAGGATTCTATAGTTGAGGGACACTCACGCATCCATCTTTTAGCCAGTCCTGGAAGCCCTGCTTGCCTTCTGCAGGTTTCCCCACTCCTGAGCCACACTGGGCCATGATCCACTCCACCAGACGCTGCTCCAGCTCAGGGTCATACTTCTTATCGATCTTGTCCTGGACCTGGCGACTCAGCCCATAAGATGGACCTTTGTTGGCCATGCCTGCTCCCTGCTCCACACAATGGGATGCAAAAGGAGATGATGAGCGAAAGGAAAGTCACGCAACAATGGTTCTTGTCTCACCTGCTCATGGAGGTCTTAATACTCTTTGTCTACGCTGTGAAGTGCATATCTTGATTTTCTTTACATGACGTTTGCGGTTCTCAATGTAATCACATACAATCATGATTCTAGCATCATCATCACCAGTCTTCGTCAATCTATCAGTCAAAATGGCATGAATTACATTAATAGCAATGCTCCAGTGCTATTTAAAGAACGATGATGAACACTGTCTCACTGTCTACATAAGACATTTGCATCTTGGTTTGCTTATATCAACAACTGTGAAAGAAAGCGATCAGTTAGCAGAGTGTTGGAACGGTTGCATCATGAGTGGCTCCCCCATCCCAGGTTCTCTTCTGCTGAAACTCAATTACCCTTGAGCCACAAGCCAGTCACAGTCTAGTGAAAAACAGCCAACAATGCAGACGCAAAGCTGCCGCATAAAAAAAGATAAAGCACAAAAGCAACCTTTTTCTTCCCCACACATACAGCATCCGCACACAGATACACAAATCATGCATGTAACCAGGTGTGGTCTTGCAAAACAGAACAAAACAAACAAAAAAGTGACTTTTGAAGGCCTCATTACATCCCCAGCATCCTCCCCAGCAAGAGCCTTCAACTGCACACCACTCGGCCCCTTTTTTTGATTGCAAATGAAATTCATTCAAATTCTTGAATTCGTATCTTTGAATGTGATCATCCAGTGAGGAGCTGAAGGGCTGTGCAGTGGAAGCTCTAAAGGCTGCACAAACATTTGTACATGTTCACATCTCCAGATTCCCACTCTCCAGCCAAGCACACACAGCAGCAACTCTGTACAGTCAGCAGCACTGTCACCTGTGCTGCCATCTCGATGTCTGGACACCACCACTCTCTGGGCCTGGAGGTTAGAGGGGGAGGTTGCAGGAGGTCAAACCTTTTAGAGGTTACACCATGGAAGCCCATTCCCACCAGGCAATGGTTTCTTGTTTTGGTCAAAATGTTGACTTCTTTACTTAATTTTGACTTATGTTAAATTTTCATTTATTAGGTCAAAGTAATAACTTATTTTCTCAAAATGTTATCTCACTGTGTCAAAATAATGTCTAATTTTTTTAAAATATTGACTCAATGTGTCTAAATAATGACATTTCCTCTACATGTGGCCTGTTTTCTTCAAAGCTTAACTCATGACCACACCTGCAGCAGACTTATTAAACATTGTACTGTTCATGGCTGTCAGGAAACAAATTGATTAGCCTTCAAAAGGATCCATACATCCGAAAGGAGGGACAAAGGCTTCGTTTTACTGACGTAGATTCGGTTTTGTCTGTACATTTTATTTTATGCTATTTGCACACATTTACTTATTTTCAAACAATTTGCATTTTCTTAAAATTCGATGTCATTCTTTCAATATAGTCATAATATGTCAAAACTTGATAGTCTATGTCAAAATCTCAAGAAAATGTCAATATTTCAAGAAAAGTCATTATTTTGAGATACCAAGAAAAAATATTGAGAAAATAAGTCAATATTTTTAAATAATAAGTCAACATTTTAAATAAGTGATTATTTTGAGAAATTTGTGAAAATAAAGTATTTTAAGTTACTAAGTAAATGTTTTGAGACATTGAGTCATTACTTTGAGGTACTGAGTCAAAAATGTGTGAAAATATTTCAACATTTTAAGGTGGGAAGTCGTTTTGAGAAAATAAGTCATTTTTTAAGACACCAAGTCAAAATGTTGACAAAATGACAGAAACCTGGGAGGAATGGACTTTCATATCGCACAGATTCTAATCAGATAAAACTCTCTAAAATGTGCCCTTTTCCAAAGTCTGAGACAGTTTTAACCATTCGAATGTTCATGGTTAACACTTCACACTCTTCAAAATAAAGGATCCTGGGCAGTTCTAAGAACCTTTGGATTGTGTTGAGGTTCTTTGAACTTTAGAAAGTCTCTTTAAAGAGCTCATTTTCAAAAATGTCTCATGGGCCGTCCTTTGAAAGGATTCTTTAGGCAAGAGAAAGTGAACCCTTGTTGGCACCTTTATTTTTGTAAGTATAAAGCTTGTATATAAAACTACACAGTGATCTCATTTTGAGAAACCCCTCCCATCCCATTAAGTATGCGACTTTCATATATAATGTGATGTCACAACCATGAACACATTTCCCTATAACTGCTCATTCACAATGTGGTTTAAAACGTCATTTTAACCATACTTACCTCAAAAGTCTATCATTAACTTCGATAAATGTCACAAGCTCCCCTCAGACAAACATATCTGCTGATTAATAGATCTAGAATGAACAATAGTCAGTAAGGTAGAACGTTCAGATGTTTCTTCCTGAATGGTCAAGTGTCCGGTTTCAGTTTGAAAGGCCTTTTTTTCCACAGATGTGATCGTTTGTCCAGATGTGAATGCTTGTGCTTGTATATAATTAACACAGTTTTATGCTATATTCCTCTCACTTCCTATGGGCATGAGCACCATGTTGGGTTTGGAGCTCTTTTGCGAGAAAAAGAGAGACTTTCTGAGTTTTTACCCCTCCCTTCCTCCTGACTTTATTGCTTTGTTTTTTCTCCGCTGCCATAGTAGCAGACTTGGCAGCTGCCAGCTGTGCCAGAGCAGGGCGGAAAACATTCTGGATCTGCGAACTGGGACTGAAAACGTGATGTAACCACGTCATCTATGAGCTGCTGTTGGAACGGTAGCCTTATCTTCAACCCCTACTGCACAGTAGGCCAGTGGCGACTGTCCAGCCACTGCCCACATAGCTCACTCCAGGTACTCATGTTCCTGCATGTGCAGCCACTAACACCACGGTTTCTGCTGATGTGGTGCCACCGGCACACTTAAAAAAGTTTCCACCATCCACTGCTGGCGTATAACCTAGTAATTTAAAGTCAAAGCAGATCTTCAGATGGACGTCTTAAATACTCCAGAGTAGCTCCTCAAAAAACTAGAGGACACTCCCTGCTTCTTTCACTCGTGTTCTTGTTTGTTCGTTATACATTTTGAAAGGCCCAAGTCATGAAGAACCTCATTTCTATTGCTTGTTTTACTGTACAAGTCCATACAGTACATATGTGGAACCAAAGCTGTGAAAATAAGCCTGTTTTGAATTAATTAAACGTTGTAATGTTCATGGCTGTCAGGAAGCAAAGGATCAGCCTTGTAAAGGATCCGCAATCTTACAAGGAGCGGCTAAGGCTTACCTTTTCTGATGAAGAATCAGTTTGCTCTGTACATTTCAGCCTAGAGTGCTATTTGCACCAGGCTAAATACAGGTCAGCCAATCAGAACAGAGATCATTTACATATTAGCCTTAAAGGGCCCATGCACTACATCTTCCTCTCATGTTGGTGTGGTTTGATGCAACTCATTTATCCACGAACTCTCTTTATCCCTTAGAATTAAACAGGCTGTTTTTATCACTATGCATTTAAGACCGATATGTAAATTAACTCTGTTCTGATTGGCTGCCCTGTATTCTTTCAAAAAGCTGCTTGGGCTGAAACACACCCTATAACTTCAGCGTGAGCGGGCGCGGCTAAACTGCTGTGGGCTGAATAAGCTGATATCTGTTAATGCCATCATAAAAAAGTGAATTCAGATTGGCAGCACAGTTTTACATATGGACTGTATGGGCTGGTCCATTTTGAAACTTTACCTGTGTTTATATACTATATAAAACTCCTTTATTAAAAATAAACGCAAGGAAATTTAGTCTTCCAAAACGTGGCCCTTTAAAAAGTCACAAAGAGGTTTCTCCCTTACAAGAAATGCTGTAAAAAGAACAAAAAACAAGACAAATGGTGATACAGGCCCTTGCTTTTGTTCTTCTAAACGGCTTTACAGTGTTTACAGAGGATGGCAAAAGTTAATACAGCTGGCCCGCATTAATCCTTGGAGGTCTGCTTCTCAAAACTTGTAAAGCGTTCTAAAGGTTTACTTTAGCCAGGCCATTCTGTACACCGAATGTCCACCACTGATGATTGAGTGCCTGTGAGTTTTTGCGTGCGTCTAAGCATCAACACTGCTTGTCAGTAAAGTGGAACGGTCCTCAGTGGCGAATGAATTCCTGGTCGAGGCCCTTTTATGGCAGTCATTTGCATCTGTGCCGAAAGGCGTGTTTATCACAGTAGCTGCCAGAGTGTAATTCTAACGTCGGAAAGCTGTCAGCGTTCCAAGTATTGTAGCCTGTGTTTCATACAAGTTGCATATGAACAAGAACATGAAAAAAAATTGAAATACAAAGAAAAATATAGAGAAAGCAATGAGTAAACTACTCAATGATGCACTTGGAAAGTCTTGAACAGTTAAAAAAACTCTTTAAAGTTTAGCAAAAATGTCCAACTCTGATACGGAACACAAAAGTTAGAGAGGTTTTGCTCAGACGCAACGTTCTGTGACTGTTCAGAACTTTCAAACTGTCAAGTTGTCCCACAAAAATGACTATTTTTTCAGTTTTTATGTTGGGTAGTGAGAGTTAATATTCAAAGAAGGTTCCATACATCACACCACAGTTCAACACCATGTTGAGGGGGATCACATACATGGAGCGTCAACAATTCCAGAACATTAAAACCAAAATAAAGGAACCAAAAAAGGTTATTTGGAGTGATACAGTGAAAGAACCACGTTGTATTGGATGGTTCTTTAAAAAAGTTCAACAAAACCACTCAATTGAAAGGTTCTTTAGGTAACCAAACTGGTTCTTCTATGGCATCACTCCAAAGAACTCTTCTCGTGTGCCCTTAGAATGTAGAGGGCTGGACAGGCAGGTGTCAAACCACACATAAATCTTGACAGGCATGGCTTAATGAGATCCCCTGTTTTCCTGATCCACAAAGTTTGAAAAGCTTTCAAGCATCTCTATCTGGGAGGCTTTTAGACGACGAAAGACATACTCACTGTGGAAAAGGATTAGGATGAAGACTCTGTCCTCTGCGCAGGAAGGTGTGTGTGTTTGTGAATATGTGTGCGCACAACTCCGGGCGTGAGTGTTTTATGTGGCCGTAGAGTCCTCCCTCCGAGAAGAGCAGGCTCAAAAGTAGGAGAGCCGCAATGACTTCACCATTAGAGAACTAGCAACAGAGCGGCACTGTGGATGGAGAGAGGGAGAGAGAAAAGGAAACCGTGGCCTTAAAAGGACATGGCCTTTTTCCTCTAACCCTTCCTCTTCTGTGCTCTCTCCCTCCCACCGTCCGCCCCGCTCTGTTTCTTTTTTTCCCCTCCTCTGTTGAAGAAGGGAAGCCTTATTTGGGAAGAGCTTTGGGAAGTGAGCGAGAACTTCGGCCAAGAGACTTTTGGTTTGGTTAGAGAGAAGAATTCTCCAAATACCTCACCGCAGCACTTCATCAGCTTAGGCAAGAGTAGAATGGAGGCATGCAGGGCCTTGGGATGGATGGAAGAGGGTAAAAAGGAGAGAGGGAAGGGCAGCTGACAAAGAGAATGACAATAAAAACACCTCAGGGGTTTAATAGCGTTGTTGAGGATTGTAGAGTTTATACTGGTTAAGGATGCTCTGAAGGAAGTACATAGGAAGGAAAGATATCAGTGAGAGAGAAATAATGGCTAGCAGAGAGAAACAACTACAAATGAATAGGCTGAATAGGACGAAAAGATCAAGAACAAGAGAAGTAAGGGCATCAGGCAGAGACAATCAACAAAAACACTTCAGAAGCTTGATGACATGGTAGACAAGGTAAAATTCATACTGGAAAGGGGTTCTCTCAAGAAGATAAATAGGAAGGAAAGATGTTGGGGGAGAGAAATGAAGCCGACTGGCAAAGTGAAAACAAAAAGAAACACCTTAGAGGTTTAAATACACTGTTGGAGGAGGCCAAATTCATACTGGAATAAGGTCTCCTAAAGGAAAAATATAAGAGAAAGACATAAGGGCAACTAACAGAGCAAAAGCAACAAAAAAAACCTTCCATAGGCTTGATGACACTGTGAAGATGGTACAGTGAAAATTCATACCGGAAAGGCATTCTCTGAAGGAGGTAAATCAGACAGGTAGGATCAGGTAGACGTCAAGGACAAAGAGAGCAAGAAATAATGGCAACTGGCACAGAAATAAACAACAAAAAACACTTCAGAGGCTTGATGACACTGAAGAAGGTAAAATTCATACTGGAAAGGGGTTCTCTCAAGAAGATAAATAGGAAGGAAAGATGTTGGGAAAGAGAAATGAAGCCGATTGGCAAAGAGAAAACAAAAAGAAACACCTTAGAGGTTTAAATACACTGTTGGAAGAGGTCAAATTCATACTGGAATAGGGTCTCCTGAAGGACGTAAACAGGAAGGAAAGTTGTAAGAGAAAGAAATAAGGGCAACTAGCAGAGAAAAAGCAACAATGAAAAAAAAACACTTCAGAGGCTTGATGACGCTGTAAAGATGGTAAAGGTAAAATTCATACTGGAAAAATGTTCTCTGAAGAAGGTAAATCGGATGGACCGGATCAGAAATATGTCAAGGACAAAGAGAGCAAGAAATAATGGCAACTGACACAGAAATAAACAACAAAAAACACTTCAGAGGCTTGATGACACTGAAGAAGGTAAAATTCATACTGGAAAGGGGTTTTCTGAAAGTTGTACACAGGAAGGAAAGTTGTAAAAAGAGAAATAAGGGCAACTTGCAGAGAAAAAACAACAAGAAAAATAGAAAAAGAGAGAGTGATAGGGCCAACTGGCAGAAAAAGATAGAGAAAGAGAAGTAATGGCAACAGGCAAAGAGAAAACAACAAAAAAACTTCAGAGGCTTGATGACATTGTAGAGAAGGTAAAACTCATACTGGAAAAGGGTTTCTGAAGGATGTAAACAGGAAAGAAAGATGTAAAAAACAGAAATAAGCACAACTTCCAGAGAAAGAAACAACAAACAACACCTCAGAGACTTCATAACATTGTTAGAGAGAGTAAAATTCATACTGGAAAAGGGTCACTGAAGGAGGTGAATCAGGAGGATCGGATGTCAAGGAGAAAGAGAGAGAAATGATGGCAACAGGCAGAGCCACTCCAGAGGCTTGACCACTGCTGCAGAAGGTAAATTCATACTGGTAGAAGGTTCTCTGAAGGAGCTGAATAGGAAGGAAAGATGTCAGCAGATTAGTATGTGAGGAAGAGCTATGATTTGGCTTGGAAAGCGAGAAACAGGGATGGAATGAAAGCAAGCGCAGGAGAACATGAGGGACATGATCAAGATGAATTACTGATGACTCCTCGTCGACGCAGCCGCTAACAAGGCCTTTTATGTACACAATACTCCCACCCAGTGTGCATATGTGAATGATGAAGGGTGCGAAAGCGCATACCTTGTGGACACACTGTGTTGGGCCTGAGCTCCCCCCAAGAACAAGCCAAGTTCCTGGGAGTGAAGCCCATTAAAAGAGCGTTAACATAAAATCTACAGTTTATTACGCAATAATTATACAAGAATTACTCCCATCTGTAAAGACCATTAGAATAAATGCAGCCAACGTTTCTAAGCACCTAGAGTGGATGAAATTACAGGTCACATGACACTGAAACTGTAGCATAAGGAAGTGAATGGCTCGATATTATAAAGATATGAGGGAGCACCTCCAATACAACCTTTAAAATCCTTCACTTACACCAATCAGGCATAACATTATGACCACCTCCTTGTTTCTACACTCATTGTCCATTTTATCAGCTCCACTTACTATATAGGTGCACTTTGTAGTTGTACAATTACAGACTGTAGTCCATCTGTCTCTCTGCATACTTTGTTAGCCTGTTCTTCAATGGTCAAGACCCCCATGGACCCTCAAAGAGCTGGTACTATTTGGGTGGTGGATCATTCTCAGTACTGCAGTGACACTGATGTGGTGGTGGTGTGTTAGTGTGTGTTGTGCTGGTACGAGTGGATCAGACACAGCAGTGCTGCTGGAGTTTTTTAAACACCTCAGTGTCACTGCTGGACTGAGAATAGTCCAGCAAACAAAAATATCCAGCCAGCAGCGTCCTGTGGGCAGCGTCCTGTGACCACTGATGAAGGACTAGAGGAAGACCAACACAAACTGTGCAGCAGCAGATGAGCTATCATCTCTGACTTTACATCTACAAGGTGGACTGACAAGGTAGGAGTGTCTAATAGAGTGGACAGTGAGTGGACACAGTGTTTAAAAACTCCAGCAGCACTGCTGTGTCTGATCCACTCAGACCAGCGCAACACACACTAACACACCACCACCACGTCAGTGTTACTGCAGTGCTGAGAATTATCCACCACCCAAATAGTACCTGCTCTGTGAGGGTCCATGGAGGTCCTGAACACTGAAGAACAGAGTAAAAGGGGGCTAACAAAGTATGCAGAGAACCAGATGGACTACAGTCTGTAATTATAGAACTACAAAGTGCACCTATATAGTAAGTGGAGCTGATAAAATGGACAATGAGCGTAGAAACAAGGAGGTGGTCATAATGTTATGCCTGATCGGTGTATTTTATTTAGTTTGTTAAGCTGAAACAGCTGCACTATGTGTCTATATGTGGACACATATGCATTGCAGCCATGTGAGATTGTTGGACATTAATATGAAGTTGCCCCCTTTGCAGCTATAACATCCTCCACACTTCTGAGCAGCTTTCCACAAGATTTTCGAGTGTGTCTGTGGCAATTTGTGCCCATTCAGTCAAAAGAGCAGTTCTGAGGTCAGACACTGATGTTGGACAAGAGGGCCAGGCTCGCAATCAGTGTTCCAGTTCTTCTCAAAAGTCTTCAGTGGGGTTGAAGTCAGGCCTCAGTGCCGGTCACTGGAGTTCCTCCACACCAAACCCATCAAACCATGTCTTTATGGAGCTCACTTTGTGCAGTGGGACACAGTCATGCTGGAACAGGACCTTCCACAAACTGCTGCCACAAAGATGGAAGCATAGATTTGTCTAAAATGTGTTTGGATGCTGTAGCATTAATACCTTTCTCTAGGACTAAGGAGCCCAAACCCTGAAAAAAACAGCCCAGCCCATTATCCCTCCTCCACCAAACTTTACTGTTTGCACTATCCATTCTGATAGCTAGCATTCTCCTGGCACTCCCCAAAACCATATTCATCCATCAGACTGCCAGATAGTGAAGCATGATTCATCTCTGTTTCTGTTTCAACATGTTTCTACTACTCCAGAGTCCAGTGGCAGCCTGCTCTACAACACCCCAGCTGACACTTGGCATTATGCATTGTGTGCAGCTGCTCGACCATGAAAACACATTACATGAAGCTCCAGATGCACAGTTCTTTTGCTGATGTTGCTTCCAGAGGCAGTTTAGAACTCTGTAGTGAGAGATTCAACAGAGCGTAAGTGCTGTGCGCTTCAGCCCTCGGTGGCCCCCCACTCTACGAGTTTGTGTGGTCTACCGTTTCGTGGCTGAGCTGTTGTTGCTCCTAGACTTTTTTTTTGTATTTTTACTGTAGTTTTTTTTTTTACAATAATAGCACTTACAGTTGACATATGCAGATCAGAAATTTCACAAACTGACAAAGTCACTGAGTTCTTCAGTGTGACCCATTCTGCTGCCAATGTTTGTCTAGGGAGATGGCATGGCTATGTGCTTGATTTTATACATCTGTTAGCAATGGGTGTGGCTGAAACACCTGAACTCAATCAGGAGTGGTGTCCACATCCTTTTGCCTATATAGTGCATTTGGGATTACTTGAATTGTAAGAGGGAGAAAATACAACTTCTAAGAGTGAGCTTTGGAGATGTGGAAAAATGAACAGAAGCTGTAATAAAGGTATAGAGTGGACAAACTAAACACTGGAATATTGGTTATATGTAGTTGTCGAGGCTTCTGTGTAATTTTCTGCTCAATATACACCGATCAGGCATAACATTATGACATTATATGTGTAGGTATGTATGTATATATGTATGACTACTTACTATATAAGTGCACTTTGTAGTTCTACAGTTACAGACTGTAGTCCATCTGTTTCTCTGCATACTTTGTTAGCCCCCTTTTACCCTGTTCTTCAGTGGTCAGGACCCCCATGGACCCTCACAGAGCAGGTACTATTTGGGTGGTGGATCATTCTCAGCACTGCAGTGACACTGACATGGTGGTGGTGTGTTAGTGTGTGTT